TGCACCAGGCCTCTATCCTATATAATAAAAGGGTAATATGCAAATTGACCCTAACAGCAGAACGACTGGGAATGACTGGTCACTATGACACACACTGACCACCAGGGGGCAGATGCTCAATGCAGGAGCTGCCCCCTGGTGGTCAGTGTGCTCCCACAGGGGGAGCTCTGCTCAGCCACAAGCCAGGCTGATGGCTGCCAGTACAGTGGTGGTGGTGGGAGCCTCTCCTGCCTCCTCAGCAGCGCTCAGGATGTCCGACTGCAGCTTAGGCCTGCTCCCCACTGGCAAGTGGACATCCCCCGAGGGCTCCCGGGCTGCCAGAGGGATGTCTGACTGCCAGCTTAGGCCCAATCCCCCAGGGAACGGGCCTAAGCCAGTTGGTCATCCCCCGAGGGGTCCCAGACTGTGACAGGGCACAGGCTGGGATGAGGGACGCCCCCAAGTGCACAAATTTTTGTGCACTGGGCCTCTAGTATGATAATAAAACTGGTAGCTGAAATAATGACCCCAAATGAAAGGCAAAATAATAGAAGTTGACTGAGGATGAAGCCCTGAAAATCAGTCATTTTATGGAGTGGGAAGGTACCTAGATGAATAGCACCCATAAAAGAACATGTTTGGGAAACCAGTCAAGGCCCAATAAAGAGGAATACCATAAAACTTGGGGCAGCAGGTCAATTTGAAGGAAAGAGTTGAACAAGATATATAACTCCACCGTGTCTCTGAATGTCCTATTTCCCTAACCCGACCACCCTAGGACTGAGAAAGATGGGGCATCAACTGGAGTGGACACCATCTGCACGTACCATCCTAACCCCATAGGCCCTGGACTGGACATAGAAGAGTTGTACCAAGAGCTGAGTCAGCTGACCCATGGCGTCACCCTGCTGGACACCTACACCCTGGACAGAGACAGTCTCTATGTCAATGGTGAGTGTCTGTGCTGCAGCTGGAGTTGCCTGCAGTCCCCTGTCTCCCTATACCAGAAATTCTCAACTGGAAGCAGTTCTCAGGGGACATTTGGCAATGTCCAAAAACATTTTCATGTCATAACTGGAGTGTGCTAATAACATCCATTAGTTAGAGGCCAGGGTTGCTGCTAAAGATCCCACTATGCACAAGGCAGCCTCCCACCATGAAACATTATCTAGACGAAAATGTCAACAATGTTGAGGTTGAGAAATTGCTGTACACAAATTCACAGTTCTGGTACAAGCCCAGCTTAACACACACCACAGGAAGTTGATTTTCTTTCCTTTTTCAACGCTGGAAGGAAATGTTTCCTTCTGTTGGAGCCCAGCAAGAGCATGCAGACTCTCAAGAGAGAAGTGGATGATGTAGGGTCCTGCAGTTAAGCCTTCCCCAGTGGGCAGCAGTGTCCAGTCCAGCTCTCACTTTACCTTATTCTCTCCATCATGACAACTTACGGGCCAGAGAGAACGACACTCATGAAACTATTCATGAAACACCACACTTCTAATAGTGGCTAAATCTCACCAAAAGATTCTTATGTGCTAAGAACTGTGACAAGGTCTTTATTTATATACTAGCGGCCTGTTACACAAAATTCGTACACTTGAGGGTATGTGTCCCTCAGCCAGGCCTGTGCCCTCTCACAGTTCGGAAGCCCCATGATCAATTGCCCCAAAGAGGTAGGCCCCGTCCACCTGCCACAGCTCGCCAGTTGGTGGCCTGGGCCTCCCTCTTTGGGGTGATCATGGAGCCCCTTGATTGATCGATCGCCCTGCCAGCTGGTAGCCTGGGCCTCCCTCTGCAGGATGATCATGGGGTGATGGCAGGGGGCTCCCAACCAATTGCATCACACCTGCCTTGGCTGGCCTGGCGCCAGTGCATGTCATAGTGTGGTCATCCTGAAGGTCCTCCGGACAGTCATTCTGCTGTTTGGTCATTTGGTTGATTTGCATATTACACTTTTATTATTATAGATTCCCTATTCATCTTACCCTAAACCCTGTACGTTACAATGCTCATTTTTAGAGAGCCATCATGCATTCACACAGGAAGTCATTTGCCTGAGATCATCCAGCCATAATGCATTGGCAGAGTCAACACTCGAACCCAATATTGAGTCTAAACTCCAAAGTTTATCCACAAGGTGACCACTCAGACAGAGAAAGACTCAAATCTCAGGACCAGAAGGAGTGTTAAATGAGCATGAGCTCAACAATCCAACCTAGTGTTTGACTAGTTATTTACCCTCTGTCAGCTTGGAATTCCTTTCATATATGGTTTGAAATACACATTTATATTAACAACAGCACATTGTGCTCTGTGTCCATAGCAGATTGAACTCCAGGATTGGGACTGCCTTAAAGCAATGGGTAATAGTATGGGAATTGGTGGCAGATCTCTGTTTTGTGTGATGCTGAACAAGTCATGTAACCTCTCTAAGCACTAATGTCCCCTTAATAGAATAAACGTACATACGAGGCAGGATTATTCTGAAAATTAAATTAGAGCATTCAGCAATAACCCAAGAAAATCCCAGGGCTCCTCTGGGTCCAGTCTTAACTCACATCTCTCACAGAGTATCAAAGGAGATGCAATTCATGACCCAGAGAAACACTCATGAAAATTCTCTTCCCCCCGCCAATTCCTTTCATGCTCCCACGTTTTACACCATCCACCTGACCTCCAAGTCTCCTTTTTTACTATTGCACTTCATCTCCAAATTTTCTCTAATATTCCCCAGCACATGTACTATCCCTTTCCTCCATCTCACTACACTTTTATCTTCACATACCACTCTCTTAAGCTGCTGCAGTTTTCTCTATTATACATCACAAAAAGCCAGAAACTAAGCGAGAAAAGTAAAATTATACTATTATAAAATATTGTGAAAAGAGAGAAGGTGACAGAAGAAGGATAAAATTATGTTAATGGATTGAGAGAACACAGATAAGTCTTGGAGCACAAACTTGGTCATTAATTTGTCCCATTACCCTTGTAATGTGTTCAGCATTATTTCTGGTGCATAGTGCATTCCCAATGAGTAGGAAGAGCCATTATTGTATTTTTATTTTGGTGATAATAATGGTAATGATGTTCATCATTATTTTCAAAGGACATAAAGGCACCAAAGGAAATTATTGTTCATTTATGAGTTTTAAAAAGTTATTAAAGAACTAGAGGCTCGGTGCACAAAAATTTGTGCACTGGCGGGGGGGGGGTGTCCCTCAGCCCGACCTGTGCCCTCTCACAGTCTGGGACCCCTCAGGAGATAACCACCTGCTGGCTTAGGCCTGCTCCCTGGGTGGCAGATGGCAGGCCCGATCCCGCAGTGGGGTGGGTGGCGGATGGCGCTGCCCCGCCCCACCTGCAGTATGCAAATTTAATGGCCATCTTTGTGCATACTCTTCTGATTGGCTGATGGGCGTAGCAAAAGTATGGTCAATTAGCATCTTTGTCTTTTATTAGTGTAGATTTCATTTCTAGCTCCACCATCTACCTTTTCTTAAATCTTTACTCTTTTCTCCCTACCTGCAGGTTATAATTATCACAACTGGACACCTGCCACAAGCAGTGAGTATTTGAAACTGAAACTTCAGTGCCCAACAGACCCTTCTGCCCCAGAGTGCATTTCTCAGGAGAAAGCTACTACTGTCCCCTACAAAGTTTCCAGCTTCAGCCTCATAGCAGCCCCTAGCCCACCCAAGGTCTTTCTCTGAGTCAAGATAGAAACCCAAATTCCAATGAACAGCTTCTGAATCACATTCCTTCAGAGTGGGGCTCAATTATTTTTTCCATGTTTTATATTTTTTCTCAGCTTCAGTGACTTCCACATTTTGTCAAGAATCTTTCATGTCTCTATTGCCCATTCTCAGTCTACAGGTTGGAACCTGCTCTCAGAGTTCTACAAAATGTTACCTCTGCATGGTCTGGTCCCTGTTTACCACCCTGCTTGTCCCCTCCCTCTCTCTATCACTCTGTAGGCTTTGGCCACATCAGACATTTGTCTGTTCTTCTAGTGTCCTAACCTTTGGCCTTTATACTAGCCTTTCCTGATGATCAGCTATTCCTGCCTTCTTATTGCCTTTCAGATCGCAGTTCCACCATCACCTTCTCTGAAAGACTTTCTCAGACGACCTTACATGAAGTAGCACTTCTCCTGAATACACACCTCGTTTCTCTGTCCTATCACCATGAGTATTTCTTTCATGAATTTACTACCATTTGGTTTACTTAGTCTTTATGTATTTGTCACCCTGGAGCTAAGCAACTAATAGGCACTCACTTTATTTTTATAGATTGAATGAATGGATGAAAGTAGCAAACTCTTTATACATCCACATCTGTGGATTTTATTTGAACATACAGAAAATCATTCAGGATCTTAGTCATGAATTTGAATCTTGCCCTGTCTCCTTGTCTTGCCCAGATGTGGGTCTGAGAGCATCTGCATTTCTTGCAACCTAATAGGGAGGCATGATTTTTGCCACGAAACCTGTATTACTTCTGCCCTTAAGATTTATTTAAAAAATTAGGTCCCTGGGTCTGATACATGCTTATGTCATGACCTAGGCTGGGTATCCATAACCCTTAATCCTGCTGTGTGAGTCTGAAGTTATGGGATACAAACTTGTGTCCTATAATTTGAATTTTTCCTTCAGACCTATATTTTGTAAATCACGAGACTGCAAATGTTGTACATGTTTTAAACAGATGCACACTTTTCATTTCCTCACTGCTCCACCCTGATCAACTCAACCATTTATGTAACATGCCTAGCTCTTGCAGACTTTAAAATATGTGACATGTGCTATAGATCAAATCATTCTATGACTGATGATGTCATTTTTTTCTTAATCATTCAAGATTTGTTCTTAATCATTGTTTTTCAGAAGTTTGGTTCTGAGTGTCTGGCACAGCTTTCTTTGAATTTATACTGTTTGGAATTTTCTAAGCTTCCAAATCTGAAAATGTAGGTTCTCAAGAAAGTTTGGGAAATTTCAGCCACTATTTCTTCAATTACTTTCTGCACTAATCTCTTTCATTCTGATCCTCCAATGAAATGATAGTGTCCCACAAGTCCCTGAGGCTCTGTTAATTTTTCAATCAATTTTTTTCTTCAGACTTGATAATTTCTAATAATATATTTTTAAAATCACCAGCCCTTTTCTCTGTCATCTCCATCCTGCCCATCAAGTGATTTTTTAAAATCTCAAGTACTGTATATTTCAGTTCTACAACATCCATTTGATTTTTTTTATAGTTTCCCTTCCTCTGCTGAGAACTTCTATCTTTACATTTATTTCAAGTGTTTACCTTTATCTCATGGAGCATAGTTCTAATAACTGCATTAAAGTCTGTACCTGCTAATTCCAACATCTGGGTCTTTGGAGTTTGCATCTGTTAGTTGTCTTTCCCTCAAGCATTAGGTAGATATTTTTCTGTTGTTGTTTTTTTTAAGTCAAATTATTTTGGGTAATATCTTAGATGTTGTGAATTATGGGGTATATTATTGGTTTAAATTTTCTGATTGTGGTAAAATAGTTATAACATAAAATTTACTATTTTAAATATACAGTTCAGTAGTGTTAAGTATATTCACATTGTTGTGTAATCTCCAAAATTTTTTAATCTTGCAAAACTGAAACTCTGTACCCATTAAAAAAAATAATCTTCATTTCCCTTTCCTCTCATCTCCTAGCAACTACCATTTACTTTCTGTCTCTATGAATTTGACTACTCTAGGGATCTCATATAATACTGAATGTGGAATTATACAGTATTTGTCCTTTTGCTTATCCATGTGTTTGCGTGTGTCAAAAGTTTCTTCTTTTTAAGGGCTAAATATTCCATTGTATGAATATATCACATTTTGTCTATTCACCCATTTGTTAATGGACACTTGGTTTGCTTCCACCTATTGGCTATTATAAACAAAGCTGCTATGAACATGTGAATACAAATGGAAAGGTATCTATTTTTGAGCCAAAAGGCATCATAGCTGTGCCATTTCTTTGTTTGTGGGACTTGGATAAAATTTACTTTCTCTGCGCCTCCGTGTCCCCCATATGTAAAATGGGACTGGTAACACCAACCTATCGATCTGTGATGTGGGTAAGCTGAGATTCTGCAGGTAAAGTGCTCTATACAAAGGCTGGTGCACAATTATTGCTCCACAGATTCTATTTGTAGAGGGTACAGTTGCCCAGCTCAGACCTCTGGCCTTTTGATTCTTCATACTGTAGCCCCTAGGTGACCATACAGGTGTGTTTTTTTCCATACTAGAGCACTTTTGAGAAAGAAATAGGGGTTGAATTAATGTTTACACAAGAGCGACATGATTGTCCATGGAAAACCAGATGTGGACACTCCATCTCCTAGTAAAATCCACTCTGCAAAGATGGTCAGTGAAGTTGAGGCAGGGGTCACTTTCATGGGAGAAACAGCCTTGACCACTCAGCAGGTGCACATTCCCTCATGAAGTCAGAAGACTATGGGAGATTCTGCCCCAGGGAGCAGCAGACTGACTTTGCTTCTCTTCTTTCACCATAATATCTACCAATTGCTTCTCTTTTGGCACATTAGGCTGGAAAGAGTTGAGGTTCTTTTTCCAGCTAAAATTGTCCATCCAGTATAGAAGTGCCTCCCCCTAAGTTTGGCTGGATGCAAGGATGACATAGGTGGGGCATCTTAGGCCTGATTGGCTGGACACTGAGACCAAAGTGACAACCCTGGATCCACCCCTACAGCCATCCCAGCCAGAGATCATAATGAATCACCATTCTTCCTTTCCCACTGCAGGTGTGAGCCCTTCTCTGGTGTCCTTCACCCTCAACTTCACCATCACCAGCCTGCGCTACACAGAGGGCATGGGGAACCCGGGATCTGAGATATTCAACAACATGGAGAGAATCTTGAATCGCCTGGTGAGAGCCCCTCCAATGCCCTCTCTCCAATACCTACTTTTGTCCCGCCCAGCTCCTTGGCCCATCTGCTCATCTCCCTCTCTTTCATCCCCAGCTCAAACCATTGTTCCAGAACAGCAGTATTGGGCCCTTCTATTTTGGCTGCAGATTGACCTTGCTCAGGTGAGAAGTTCAGAGTAGGCAATGTGGGGGGCTGACCCTGAGCTGGATCCTGACGTTCTGCACCCACTATCCTAAGGAGAGCTGACCACCAGTTTCCACTTTGGCTCACATTGTTTCCCTGATCATAAAATGGAGAATCCTCGTACTCTTTCCTTCCCAGGTAGTAAGGTTAAACTTTTCAGAAAGATCTTTCTTCTGGAACTCGTTGAAAAATCAACTTATCAATCATGTCAGTTTCATCACAATAAAGCAGTGATTTTCAGCCAGGAGTAATTTAGCTCCCAGGGGATATTTGACAATGTCATGAGAAAATTTTTGTTATCACAACTCAATGGTGGGTTTGCTACTTGTCTATAGTGAGGGAGGCCGGAGAGACTGCTAAATATCCCATAAGGCACAGGACAGTCTCCCCGGGCCAAGATTTATCTGACCCAAATGGTGCCATGTTGAGAAACCTTGTTCAAGAGTATGCATTTTGTCACATTTAGGCTAATAATTGGCCTATCTGAAATACCTAACAAACACTCCCTTTTCCTACCATCCCCCAACAGTGACCAAATCCTGACCAATAAGAGGTGGACTTGGGATGTCTGCCACCCCCAGAGGGATCATTGAGCAATAAAGCATAGTTGTTATACAGTTTTATTTGACATCTACCACATCTGTGTTCAAATCCTAGCTTCCTATTTCAAGGTTGTGTGACTCGGACAAGTTACCTAATGTCTCTCTGCCTCAGCTGTCTCTTCTATCAATCGGAGTGTCTCAATCTGCTTTTCTGCATAAGAAATTTAGCCCACAATTCTGCTGGATGGCCACTTGGGCTGGATTCTTCTGGGAGATTCTCCTGCCTGGGCTGGTTCAGCTAATCTCAAATGAAGCTTATTCATTTCTGCAGTCTGCTGCTGCCTGGGACATCTCAGTTCTCCTCCATATTTTCTCATTCTCCAGCAGGCTAGCTTGGGTTCATTACCATGCTCAGAGTTCCAAGAGCAGCAAGGAATGAGAAGCACACCTGCTTTTCAAGCCTCTGCTCGTATCTCATTTGCTACTGTCCATTGGACAGTCCTGTGGCCAAGCTCAGATTCAAGGGATATGGAAACAGACTGCACTTCTAATAAAAGGGAATAATTTGTGATCATTTGTGTGAGCACAGTAAAAATTAAAATGAAAGGTTCTTGGTAAAAAAAAAACTTAATATATAGAGAACATGCAGTAAATTACTCACTGTCTTCCCTAGGACTAGGTACTAAGAATAACTCCAGCATGTGGAAACTCACCCTGTGTACTTGGGTCACCTTACCCCTTGTGTGACATCTCCCAACCACTGACCTTTTGTCTGAGGATGGAATCCACAGTTCTAAAGACACTCAACATTGTCCCTCAGCCATGATGCTATTATTTTACTTTTCTACTGGACCTGAGATTTTTCTGGCTCTGGGATACCACACAGCCTCATCCCCATCCCCAGCCTAGGCTGGTTGCTTGGTCTCAGTGTTGCCTTTAAAATACTCAATCATTGCAAAATCATTCATACCCAAGAACTCTGGCCCTTTTAATACTTAACAAAACTTGCTGCCTTTTATTACCTCATTTGACAGATAAAACAAGGAGCCACAGAGAGGTTGAGAGACTTACCCAGAGTCACCCAGAAATTAAGTAGCAGAGCTAGGATTTAAGCAATCTGACATTGCCTTTTTCCACTTTATCCAATTCCCCGATGGCTTCCTTCTACCCTGTCTGTCATGCTTCTCTTGTTATGATGTATGTTGCCTTGTTATGATTATGATTTTAAAGTTTAGCACAAATATCGACATTTTGAGATGCTATATCCTCTCTGTTTGGAGACCTTGGCTGTCCAGTTTATTTCCGGCCCTCCCCCAGGACCAAGGCCATTTCAGGCTGCCCACCCTCCTGCTTCTCTGGGCCCTGACCCATAGTCCCCACCTCCCCGTCACTGTGTATCCTCCCTGCCCAGGCCTGAAAAAAATGGAACAACCACTGGAATTGATACTGTCTGCACATACCATTCTGACTATGTGGATCCTAAGCTGGACAGAGAGCAGCTGTACTGGGAGATGAGCCGTGGGACCCATGGTGTTACCCAGCTGGGCTCCTTCACATTGGACAAGGACAGCCTCTACATCAATGGTGAGCATCCTTTTTGTAACCATAAGTTGAAGCTGAGAATCTGCACCCACTCATCCTATGTGTGATCTTCTGCCTGAGCAATCACCTTTGATGTCTGAAGGACCCCCATAGACCCTCCAGTTTGCAAATCCTTCTCTTTCCATGGCATCCATGCATTCCACAGAAGTGATCTGTATACTTGTCTGAGACACAAAACCTTTCTCCAGACAGATTAATGACAATATCCCTGTGGCTGAAGCTAATGGAGATTCAAGAGGCTGGCTATTTATCTGCCTCCCCGCCAATATCTCAGAGTCCCCTCTAGACCCTGAGAAGCACAGTTGGCAAACAAATGCTCAAGAAATGTTGGTATAGGTATCTTCCCAAATAAATTGCAAGCCCACGAAGGCAGGGACTGGGTCTTTGATTTCTCAGCCCTTTAGGAACAAGGTATTGTTGCCCCTGAATCATTACTGTTGAACGGTGTAGACTTGAAGTCTGAGTTTGGGGTAGGGGCTTGTGGTCCTCAGCCTGTATCTTGGACATCCCTCCCTTGCTTGTATCCTAGTACCATCTCCTTTTCTCATTTCAGGTTATACCCATCAGACCTCAGCCTCCACCCCCAGTGGTGAGTACTCAGGGCCCTGATGGCTAGGTGCTCCCGGCCCCCTATGGACAGTAACTGATTCCCCACCCCAGGGCCTTGGCAGGAGAGGAAGCCAGAGGACCCAGTTATCTCACTCACCTACTCTACATCAATGGCTTGGGCTGGACGGGAAAGCTGCACAGAGTCATCCATGCTACACTCAGGGCCCCCATTCTTACTCCAGACCATTTATCTTCAGCTACCGTGACCTCTACTCTCTTCCCAAGGACTTCGCTGGTACCAACCCACTTCTTCAGCTCCACAGGTAGGTGACTTCTCTTCCTGCTCCTTCTAGGAAGCCTCAAAGCTTGGACCCTGGAAGTGCAGAAAAAGGCTGCTATTTGGGGAACCTGGAGCTGCCATGGGCACCCTCTGCTCTGCTCTGAACTCCTCGAGAGCAGAGAATGTGAACTCCTCATCTCTCCAGCTGTTGACCTTTGACAATTTACTTACCCTCTTGGTACCTTAGTTTCCTTACCTGACAAGTGGGAATAATAATACTTCATAAGATCATTATGAAGGTTAAATGAAAATGTATATAACAATACCTAGCACTGGAATTACCAGAATATTTAGTTCAACAAATACTATTGGGCACGTGTTCTGTACTAGGCAGAGGGGATAAGATGTTAAGTCAGGTGTGGTCCCTCCCCTCACCCAGGTTACAGTGTATTGAGAGAGACTGAAATTAAACATACAGTAGCAATTGATAATAACTATGGAAGATAACCATGTTCAGCACTCACTACATGCCAGGCCCTATACTATTCTTTTTATTTCTAACTTTTCATTTTGATATAAATGTAGTTTTACAGAAAGTTGCAAAAAAGTGCAGAGATTCCTATACTCTACCCAGTCTCTCCTCCATGATTAACATCTTACATAAACTAGATTTCAGTGTCAAAACCAGTAAGTAAATTGACATTATTAAGATCTACAGAACTCCAGTTTCAGGTTTCACTATTTCCATGTACTTGTATGTATGTGTGTCGTTCTCTGCCATTTTAACACATATGTAGACTTTTGTAACCACCACCACAAGATACAGAACTGTCTCATCACCACAAAAATCCCCTTCGTGTTTCTGTAGGTCACGCCCACCCAGTCCAACCCCTGGACACTACTAATCTGTAAACCGTGTCTGCAGTTTTGTTATTCTGAGAATGTTATATCAATTGAATCGTACAACATGCGACCTCTGGCAACTTCTTTTTTTCACTTAGCCATAATGCACTTGAAATGTGCTAACTCCCTTAACAATCATTTAACCTCCATAATTTTTGGACAAAGTATGATTCTCCTCATTTTACAGTTAAAGAAATGGAGATACTGACAGGTTGAGTAACAAAACCCTGGTCTCATGCTGATGAGGGGCTAAGAGGATTTGAAACCAACATAGAATTTACCATATCAATTATTTCTAAGTGCACATTCACAATGTTGTGCCACCATTACCACTATCCCACTTCCAGGACTTTTCAACATTTCAAATGGAGACTTGGTCCCCATTAAACACTAATTTCCCATTCCCCACCCCCAGCCCATGGTAACCTCTATTCTACTCTCTGTCTCTATGAATTTGACTGTTCTAAGTACTTTACATAAGGGGAATTATACATTATGTGTCCTTTATATCTGGCTTGTTTCACTTAGCTTAACATTTTCAAGGTTTATCCATAGTGTACCATGTATCGGAATTTCATTCCTTTTTATAGCTGAATTCTATTCCATTCATCTGTTGATAGACACAGGTTGTTTCCACCTTTTGACTGTTGTTTTCAATAGCTATGAACATTTGTGTTCAAGTGTCTGAGTCCCTGTTTTCAATTCTTTTGGGTATATACCTAGAGTGAAATTGCTGGGTAATATGGTAATCCTGTGTTTAACTTTCTGAGGAACTGATTTCCATACAGCTCTACTAGCATTCCCACCAACAATGCATGGGTTCCAATTTCTGTACATTCTCAGCAACACTTGTTATTTTCCTTAAAAAAAATAGCCATTCTAATGGATGTGCATGTTACTGTATCTAACAGCATCTTGCTTTGCTCTTTATATAGCTTTCTGTCTTTGTGTCCTAAGGTAGTTTACCTGCCTGCTTTAAACCCCTGCTTCCTCAGATCTGGACTTTTCATCTCGGTCCCCAGAAGTTGCCTGAGAGCCCAGCCCAGGTCTGACTCAGGCATGGCCTCCTTTTTCCTTCCCTCTGCCATAGCAGCTGTTTCTTTCCTGGTGCCATTCACCCTCAACTTCACCATCACCAACCTGCACTATGAGGAGGACATGCAGCACCCGGGCTCCAGGAAATTCAACACCACAGAGAGGATCCTGCAGGGTCTGGTGAGACCCTGCCCACTGATGCCAGCTCTGCCCACTTTACCCCTGCCCTACCCAGTAGTGTCAGCCCCATCCACCCACTTATGCCCCCACCTCACCATCTCTACCCTGTTCACCTCACCGATATCCCAGCTCCTCCTGGCCTCCCTCAGTGGTTCCTTCTCACCTCCCCTCTCCTCTCTTATAGCTCAAATCTGTGTTCAAGAATAGCAGTCTGAGATTACTCTATGCAGGCTGCAGACTAGCCTCGCTCAGGTGAGACGCTGCCTCCCAAGAACACAGCCCACCTGGGGTATGGGACCCTAATTTATGGACTCCATGGCTTTGTCTATATTTGGTACAACTACTGTCCATGGATACTAAGCATCAAAAATACCTAGAACAGCAATAAAAACATCTAAAAATTACTAAAACCCAGGCACTGTCGTGTTACTTTATATGTAATCTCATCAGTCCTTGAAACAACCTCATGAAGCAGGAGCAGAAGGTGAAACTGAGGCTCAGAGGGATTAAGGAACGTGTGCCGTTTCACAGAGAAATCCCAGCATTTGGGGTTGTAGTTCCAAACACCTAGCCCTTAAGCAGCCCTGTCTCCTCTGCCCACATTATGACCTTATAGGTTGTGGAAAATACCAATCTGAGAACCTTTCTAAAGGACTGGCCCAGAGGATCTAAGAGGGGAAGAAAAGCTAGTATTAGAGAAAGTATGCTCCTAAATAGGTCAGACTCAGCTGAAGGGAGCCTTCCCTGCCCAGGGATGGCTGGGGGTTGCGGTGGACACAGTCCCCTAAAAGGCCTAAAAAGGGCATCTGGACATTCCAAGACTGTGGTGGAAATGGGTCAACACTGCTATAATATCTAATATACATTATCAAAATCATAATCTGTATTAGTGTATATATGTATATACATTACATACTAGGTATATATATAACAGGCATAATGTATAATTTACAATAATAAAATATAAGTAAACATCATTATATATGTTAAACATGGTTATTTATGTTATATATAACATATACTATAATGGGTGTAATAAAAATTGTGGGGCTCTGTCACACACCTATTGCTTTCACAGGCTTCTCTCCCAGGCCTTCAAGAGGCTTGGAGCCCCGTGGTTTCCTAGTTATTCCTTTATGGAGATTATCTTCCTGAAGGCAGCAGATTCCTTGTTAACTAGAGTTTCCCAAGTTGCTGTCTTAGAGGCTGGCAAAAAGAGGGAGGGAAGGATGAATGGTGGAGAGAGAGTTGGACCAACAATGTGGAGGTTCTCACCCAGCTCTGAGAAGGAGGGGACAGCCACCAGAGTGGATGTCATCTGCACTCATCGCCCTGACCCTGACGGTCCTGGACTAGACAGAGAGCAGCTGTACTGGGAGCTGAGACAGCTGACCCATGGCATCAGCATGCTGAGACCCTACACGCTGGACAGGGACAGTCTCTATGTCAATGGTGAGCAGCTGCAATATGATCTCTTCCTCTTTACTAGTAGCCTCTGCCCTCTGACTTGAGATCACACTTCCTGAATGGCCTCTAGGGCCTTAGCCAAGTGCACTGAATGATTTGGACTCATGGTTTCTTCTTCATCTTAGACTGACTTCACCCTCAGGGTCTTCTTTCCTGATGTGAGGGTGCTGTTGGAGGACCCCGAACAGCCTCTACTCCATGAAACCCCCTCCTTTTCACTGACCCATATTTGGTCCCCCACCTCTCCCTGAACCCTTACCCACTAGCCTCCCTTGCTCTTGCTACAGGTTTCACCCATCAGAGCTCCACACTCATCACCAGCAGTGAGTATACAACTGGTGTCCCAAGGCCCCCAACACCAGGCAGGGATGGAGCTGAGCCCTCCTCATGCCCACGTATGTCCTTTCCAGGAGGGAGGAGTTCCTGGGAGGGCACACATTACTTACTGTCCCCTCTTCCCCAGCTCTAGAGGGAATCCCAGCTTAAGCCCCACATGCAGTAAGCCCAATAAATAATGCCTCCTGCTGGTGTTTCTGCCATGTGAGTGCCTTTCTGCTTTCACTGACAAGGGCTTTTCTGCAGCTCCTAGGACATCCACAGTTGAGCAAGAGAACTTTGGGACTCCACCTTCATTCTCCAGCCCCACAGGTAAGTACCAGTTATTGGCACATCTGTTAGAGAGTGCTTGATGATTGTAAACATCTCTGACATTATTCACTCAAAGATGGAAAGTCATAGTAAATCTAGTAATAATTAGTCAACAAACTTTATTGAGCACCTACACTATGCTGGAGTGGGAATACAGCAGGGAATATGAAATTTTAAAAAATCTCTGCCTTATAGATTTCATATTCTTTTGATATAAGAATATATATTATGCCCTAACTGATTTGGCTCAGTGGATAGAGCATCGGCCTGCGGACTGAAAGGTCCTAGGTTCGATTCTGGTCAGGGCATGTACCTTGGTTACAGGCACATTTCCAGGAGGAGGTGTGCAGGAGGCAGCTGATCGATGTTTCTCTCTCATCGATGTTTGTAATTCTCTATCCCTCTCCCTTACTCTCTGTAAAAAAAAAAAAAAGAATATATATTATTATGATGATAGTGATGGTGATTATAATAATGACTAGAGGTCCATTGCAGGAAGATTCCTGCAAGCATAGGGCTTCCTCAGGCCTATTCCTGCAAGAATAGGGCTTCCTGAGGCCAGAGCGAAGCCTTGCTCCCTCCCATCTACTCTGCCTGGCTTCCTCCCATCTCCGCTACTGTCCCGCCCAGCCACCCTGGGTCGCACATGGGAGGGCCAGATGGCGCAGGCCAGGCGGCGGATGGCGCTGTCCTGCCCTGCTTGCAGTATGCAAGTTAACGGCCATCTTTTTTGGGTTAATTTGCATACTCTTCTGATTGGCTGATGGGTGTAGCGAAGGTACAGTCAATTAGCATCTTTGTCTTTTATTAGTGTAGATGGTGATGGTAGTGGTGGTGATGATAATGATGAAATGGTGGTAATGATAATAACGGTGATGGTGACAATGATGTTGGTGATAGTGACAATAATGGTGATGGTGATGATAAAGATGGTGACAGTGATGATCAAAAGATAACAGATAATATCTGACATTACTGAGTATTGAATATGAACAAAGTGATATGTTCAGAATCTAGTATTATTTAATATCCTTTTAACAACTTTCTATCATTATAGGCAAGAAAGGCATGGGAACCTTTTATTTATCACTCTAAATCCTGTTGCTTAGTTTTAAAAGTAAATATATTATACACTCTTGTGTGTAATATGAATTTGAACATTGTTTATTTCTGTTGACTTCAGTATTAAGTAAACCTGCTGTATTGAGCAACTGTGTCTTCCTCCTTTGTGCTCCTTAGTATCCACTGTAGTGACTTGCTCATGGTAGGTCTATAGGAAATATGTGGCTCTCCCAGGAAACAAAGGAATGAAGTATGATGTATGGAAATCCTCCTTTCCTTCCCATTCTAAACTTTAATGACTGTCTGATTCTACCCAGTACAAATGTATGGCATCTGTGTCAGCACTCCTCACTCCCTCATCCATGGCAGACATTACTAAATGATAATAGCACCCATTCTTTCTGAGCTCAAGACAGCCTCAGAATCCTTACAACAAAACACCCCAGGAAGTTGCTACCATATCAGTTGGAGTTGTCTTGGGATTCTAGGATGAAATTCAAGGAAATTAAGTCCCTATCAGTGGTTCTCAACTTTCTGGCCCTTTAAATACAGTTCCTCATGTTGTGACCCAACCATAAAATTATTTTCGTTGCAGTCATGGGCACCCCCTCCCTTTTATGTCCAAGCTGATGGGGTCCCCGGAGCAGGCAGGGGTTGTGTTCCATGACCCTTTTCCCCACATCTGGTCCAACGCTGACTTAGAACATGGCTTCTCCTTCCCCTCTCCACTGCAGCTGCTGGCCCTGCCCTCATGTCCTTCACTCTCAACTTTACCATCACCAACCTGAACTACACAGAGGATATGCAGCCAGGCTCTGCGAAGTTCAACTCCACAGAGTCAATTCTACAATATCTGGTGAGAGCCCCCCGCTACCCACTTTTCTTTCTAATTTCCACTCCACCCCTCCTTGCTACAATTTCAGAGTATATAGAGGGCTAGGGAGGCAGGCAGTTCCATGTTCAAAACTTGGAACTGCCACAGACAAGTGATGTGACTTTGGAGTAGTGATTAGTCTTTGTGGTATTGTTTCCTCATCTGTGAAACTGAGACAGCAAATCATTTATCACAAAGGGTCCTTTTGAGAATTAAATGTGGTATGAGAAGATTAGGGAACTGTTGTGTGTTTTTTAAAAACATTGTGTTTTAAACGATGATTATTTTTATTTTTTATTCATCTACTCCTTCCTTCTCAGCTTGAGCCCTTGTTCACCAACAGCAGCATTGGCTCACTCTACACTGGCTGCAGACTGACTACACTAAGGTGAGACCTCATCTTTGTCTTGCCTTCATAGGTGGGGTAAGGTGTGGGCTGGTTGGGCTGGCCAGGGCCTTAGTAAGCTCAGTCTACCAGTGGTTCTCAACCTTCCTAATGCCGCAACCCTTTAATACAGTTCCTCATGTTGTGGTGATCCCCAACCATAAAATTATTTTCATTGCTACTTCATAACTGTAATTTTGCTACTGTTATGAATCGTAATGTAAATATCTGATATGCAGGATGTATTTTCAGGAGTCACAACCCACAGGTTGAGAACTGGTAGACTGAGCTATGGGAAGTGAGGTGCCTCGAGCACAAAATTTAAGGAGATGCTCACCTTCAGGTGCTAACCTTATGCTTGCACAACCCTGAGAGTTAGCATGTCCTTATATCTTGTATCTGGATGCCTTGCTTACCTCACCCTATTCCCAGCCCTAGTGCTAGTGCTGTGCCCTGCTCACTCTAGGCCAGTGGTCAGAAAACTCATTAGTCAACAGAGCCAAATAGCAACAGTACAACAATTGAAATTTCTTTTGAGGGCCAAATTTTTTAAACTTAAACTATATAGGTAGGTACATTGTTATTAACTTAATTAGGGTACTCCTACGCTGGCCTTTGCTAAAAACATCCTCAATCTGAGGAGTCGACCTCAGCGAACGTACCCCCACTTCTTCTAACGCCATTTCTTCAAAATAGACTCGCCCAGGCTGAAAACCAACTTCTGCGCATGGGCCACGAAGTTTCAATCGCACTGTACGTGCACGTCCACACGTGGTATTTTGTGGAAGAGCCAAACTTGGGGCCAAAGAGCCGCATGTGGCTCGCGAACCGTGGTTTGCCAACCACTGCTCTAGGCCATCCAATCAGACAGTCAGCTTTGCAAGATCTGAATGGGACAGACACAACTACAGTTTTAGTTAGAAGGATGTGGATAGGAAACAGCAGGGTGGCACTGGACATTTATGTTTTGCAAGAAAGCTCTTGGCAGTTGAAGGGTTATTATTTTGGCATTCCAGGTAACAGTCCATGTGCAAAGAAATGAAACCTCAATGAATAGGTGCTGGAGCCACCCTGGCTCAGATGTCCCATGGCCCAAAGGGAAATTAATCTATTGTTAACAGTTCTGCCCAGTTAACAGGGCCACCCCACTCTCCCAACCCAAACCTATAGCTTCCTGCTGGTTAAAAATGTCCATTTAATGTACTCCCAGAAAAGATGCAGGTCAAATCAGCACCAACAGGCAATGAAACTGACACCGCACCTTTGTCAAGTAGGAGACCAGAGCTAGAAGCAGCTTAGTTCCAGGTAGCTTCCATCCTGCTGAGGTACAAGGGACACTGCCTCCCCCCCACATCCCCCTGCCCCCTTTATGCTCTCTCCCTGCTAGTGCAATCTGCAGGGTCTCCCAGGTTATCCCTTCAGGCTAAGTTTTCCCAGCTGCCTCAGAGAGTTGGTAATGCAAGAGGCAGGTGGGCAGTGGTAGGAGTCTGCTATGCAGCGTCTCATGCTCAGATGCTCACATCTACAACTTGGCCTGGATCAGTTTTCCAAGAGCTGATGAGTCTTTTATTCAGAGCTACTCTCCATTTTCCTTAGGGAACTATGGGTGCTTTGTAAATATTTGTTTAATTAAACAATTAATTAATTATTAGCACTTCTAATATACTTGGCAGGGGGGCTGGGTATTTTATATCAAACATTTCTGAATCCCATGATGTTGCACCAAAGTGCTAACAGCACACTCCATGCTGCAAAGATGGGAGAACTGAGTCAGAGAGGCCATGTGGATTATTCAACAAGTGACAGCACTAAGGTTGAATTGATGGGTGTCTGATTCTAAAACATCCACTCTAGCCCTAGATGGTAGTTCAGTGGTTAGAACTTTGGCCCTCAAACTGAAGGATCCCAGGTTCGATTCAAGTCAAGAGCACATACCGCTGTTGCATGTTCAATCCCTGGCCCCAATTGAGGTATGTGTGAGAGGCAACCAATCAATGTGTCTCTCTCTCATCAGTGGTTTTCTCTCTCTGTCTCTCCCCCTCCCTTCCACTTTCTCTAAAAATCAATGGGAAAAAATGTCCTTGGGTGAGGATTAAAATAAAATAAAGTCAATCCCCACTCTGGTACTTTGTGGCTCAAAGATGCCCCTTGTCTTGTGAGTGCTCATGCCTAGACCAGGAGAGCAGATAAGCAGGCATCCACATACAAGGGGGCTGAGGAAAGATGTCCTGCCAAGATGTCTCAGTCCTGTTTCCATATCTATGTCCTTCTCTCCCCAGGCCTGAAAAGGGTGAAACAGCCACTGGAGTTGATGCCATTTGTACCTACCATCCTGACCCTGCAGTCCCCGTGCTGGATAGGGAGCAGCTCTACTGGGAGCTGAGCCACCAGACCCATGGTGTCACCAGGCTTGATCCCTACATCCTAGATAGGGATCATCTCTATGTCAACGGTGAGCCTCTGGTGGTAAAAATGTCCTATGTAGCACCAGTTGGATTCTTTCGTTGCTGCTCTGAGCTCTGACCAGAGGATACACTTATGTCTGCTTCTAGATTTCTCTCTCCTCACTCTTCCACTCCTTGTGAGGTCCCTGTTCTCCACCATATGTGTATACGCCACACACAGAGAGTGATGGGAAGTCACAGAAAGCTTATAGGAGGCACAAGTCACCGTCTGTAGGGGCACAGCCTCTTGATGGCATCTACTCTTCTCTTACACCTGTGGTCCAACCCCTTTACCCCTTTCTTAATAACCTTTGAAAACATCCCATCTCACTCTTACCCATTCTGCAGGTTACACCAGACCAGTCTTGACATCCATCCCCAGTGGTAAGTGTCCAAACCTTAGAAGGCCCTATGACCCCACAGTGATTGGTGGGTGTAGCTGGTTCCTCCTCCCTATGGCTAAGGCCTCAGTGTGTGAAAGGAAGCCTTAGAGTCCTTATTATGGCCACCCCCTCCCAATTTCAACTCAGTTTGGGCATCAAGGCCAAATTGTCTCTGGCATCTCCAAGGTGAAACTGCATTATTCTTATTTCTGATGCTTCTACCTCAGTGTCTATGACTTCTACACCCTCCTTGAGAAACTCATTGGCTCCAATCTCCTTCTTAAGTTCTACAGGTAAGAGCGTTCTCTCTATGTCTACTGCTTTCTAAGCTGCATGCCTCTGTGCTTAACAATGAGAAGTCAAGACAGTATACATGGGCAGATCAAGGCAAGGGGACAGTGTGAGAAGGATAAAATCTAGAGCCTGAGCTTCTGCCCTAAAATAGCTGTGTGGCCTTGGGGAAGTGCCTTAATCTTTCTGACACTCATTTTCATCTCTTTCAGTTGGGGGGCGGAGGGAGGGGGTGGGAGGTAAGTAACAGGATGTGCCTCCGAGGTTTGTGTGAGGATTACATGAGATACCAGACAGAAAGTGCTAACACAGGGTATAATGGAGCATAGAGTAAGCCTTTACCAAACATCAGCTGTTATTGCTGTTATTTTTGTTGTCATTATTATTATTACTAGAGGCCCAGTGCATGAAATTCGTGCACAGGGTGGGGGGCCCTCAGCCAGGTCTGCATCCTCTCCAATCTGGGACATCCCTCTCACAATCTGGGTCCGCTGGCTCCTAACCGCTCGCCTGCCTGCCTGATTGTTCCTACCCACTCTGCCTCCCTGCCTGATCCCCCCTAACCGCCTCTGCCTACATGCCTGATAGCCTCTAACCACCTCTGCCCCCAGCCTGATCACCCCCAATTGCCCTCCCCTGCTGGCCTAGTCGCCCCTAACTGCCCTCCCCTGCTGGTCTGGTCGTGCCTAACTGCTCTCCCCTGCCTGCCTGATCACCCCTAACCGCCTCTGCCTCGCCCCCCACCACTGTGGCTTTGTCCAGAAGGACGTCTGGGTGGATGTCCAGAAGACATCCAGTCTAATTAGCATATTACCCTTTTATTAGTATAGATTACTATTATTAATGTTCAAAATAAAGCTTTCCTATTCTGGGGAGAAACAGTCTGAGCTTTTGCAGCAGATGTGAATACCAGACTGATTCCACCCCTCTGCCCCTGACCCCTAAATTTAGTACAGGCAGTGATTCAGGGTGTGATATCTTCCCTCTCAACTTTACTGCAGTCTCTGTCCTTGCCCTGGTGCCATTCACCCTTAACTTCACCATAACAAACCTGCACTACATGAAGGACATGCAACAACCGAGCTCAGTAAAGTTCAACAAAATAGAAAAGATCCTGCAGCAACTGGTAAGGCTCCTCCTGCCCACCTCATTCCTACACTGCCCACTGATGGCCACCATGCCCACTGCTATCAGTCCCCCACCTCTCCTATGCTTCATTCATCTCTTCCTGCCTTCCAACTGATGCCAGCCCTGCTCATCTCATCCCAGCCCTGCCCCTGCCCTTCCCTTATCAGTCCTTCTACTCACCTCTTTCTCCTCCCTCAACAGCTCAGACCCTTGTTTAAGAACACCAGTATCAGCCTCCTCTATTCCAGCTGTCGACTCACCTTGCTCAGGTAAGACCACCAGAGATGTCCCAGTGAGGCACAGTGGAGATTTTATCCACAGTCCTCTAGGGCTGGGTCCTCCCTTTTATCTCAGCCTTTTCCAGCTCCCCACCTGAAACAGCCACTATCCCTCCAGTTCTGGCCCCTGGTCCCTGTCCTGGACCTTTCCATCCTCGAGAGTCTCTAATCTCACACGCAATATTTAATAGGAGCAAAACAAAACATAATAACCTGAAAGTATGCACCAAATTCTTTTATAAGGATGCATCCCTGATCCTTCACAAAGAATAAACCCACAGCCTACCATTCCCCCAACCCACACTGCATATGTTCATTTTTTATTTGAATTCATTGGGGTGACATGGGTTAATAACCAAACTTATATAAATTTCAAGGGTGTAATTCTGTAATACTCATGTATATTGCATTGTTTGCTCACCAGCCAAAGTTTAGTCCTCTTCCATCACTATATATTTGACCCCTTTACCCTCTTCAAGCTCCCCTCAACCTCTCCTGTTGTCTGCATCTATGACTTTGTTGGTTTTGTTAGTTCATTTGTTGCTTTCTGTTTTCTATCCCACATATGAGTGAAATCATAAGCTTCTTATTTTTTCTATTTGATTTATTTCACTTAGCATGATACTTTCAATATCCATTCATGCTGTCATCAAATCTGTACATTTTATCCTTTCTTGTGGCTGAGTAGCATTCCATGGCATATAGCTACCACATATTTTTTACCTAATCACCCATCGAAGGATATTTAGGTTATTTCCATGTCTTGGCTTCGTGAATAATGCTGCAATTAACATAGGGGTGCACATATATTTTTAAATAAATGTTTTCAAAAAATTTCAAGTAGATATCTAGAAGACAGGTTCCTGAATCATGTGTTAACTCTATGCTTAATTTTTGGAGGAAAGTCCATACTGTTTTCCATAGTGGCTATACCAGTTTACATTCCTACCTACAGTGAATGAGGGTTCCTTTTTCTCCACATCCTGTCCAATACTTGTTATTTCTTGTCTTGTTGATAATAGCCATTCTAACAGGGGTAAAATGGTATCCTATTCTAGTTTTGATTTGCATTTTCTTTATAGCTAGTGAAGTTGAGATCTTTTCATATGTGTGTAAATGGCCATTTGTATGTCTTCTTGGGAAAAGTGTCTGTTCAGGTCCTCTGCCCATTTTTTAATTGGATTGTTTGTTCTTTGTTGTTGAGTTGTATGAATTGTTTATATGTTTTGGATATTAGCCCCTTATCAGAGGTATTGTTTGCAAATATCTTCTCTCATTTTTGCCTTTTTGTTTTGTTGATGGTTTCTTTTGCTGTGCAGAAGCTTTTTAGTTTGATGCAGTCCCATTCATTTATTTTTACTTTTACTTCCCTTGATTTTGGGAACAAGGTCACAGAAGCTTCTCTGAGACCAAAATTCATAAGTTTAGTACCTATGTTTTTTTTTATTTATTTTATTGTTACCAGTCTTATTTTAGGCCTGTGATCCATTTTGATTTAATTTTTGTGTATGGTGTCCAATAACAATCTAATTTCATCCTTTGGCATGTGGCTTTCCAATTTTCCCAACATTATTTAGTAAAGAGGCTTTTTTTTTTCTCCATTATATGTTTTTGATTCTTTGCAGTAAATTAGTTGCCCATATATGTGTGAGTTTATTTCTGGTCTGTCAATTCTGTTCCATTTGTATGTGTGTCGGTTTTTCTGCCAAAACCATATTGTTTTGATTATTGTAACTCTGTAGTATAATTTGAAGTGAGAGAGTATGCTACTTCTGACCTTGTTCTTCTTTTCTCAGGATTGCTTTGGCTATGCAGGTTTTTTTATGTGTGGTTCCATACAAAATTGATGAATTATTTGTTATACTTCTCTGAAAAGTGCCATTGGGATTTTGATGGGGATTGCATTAAACCTGTATATTGCTTTAAGTAATATGGCTATTTTAATGATGTTGAGTCTTCTAATTCATGATTGTCTTTTTGTCTTCCTCAATTTTTTTAACAAAATGTCTTGTAGTTTTCAGTGTATAGGTCCTTCACATTTTTTGTTCAGTTTATTCCAAGGTATTTTACTCTTTTTGTTGTAATTGCAAATGGAATTGGTGGTGGGGGGGTTTATTTATTTTTTCTGAAATTTTATTGTTATTCTATAGGATTGCAGTAGATTTTTGTACATCAATTTCATATTCTGAAACTTTGTTGTATTTGTTGTTCTAATCACTTTTTTGGTGGATTCTTGCAGATGGATCCTCATTGTCTCTGCCTCTGTGTCCCTACCTCCATAGGCCTGAAAGAGATGGAGCAGCCACCAGTGTGGACACAGCTTGCAACTACCGTCCTGACCCTGCAGGCCCCGGGCTGGACAGAAAGCAGCTGTACAGGGAGCTGACCCAGCTGACCCAAGGTGTCACCAAGTTGGGTCCCTACACCCTGGACCAGGACAGTCTCTATGTCAATGGTGAGCAGTGGCCACCTTTCCCTTGTGTATTGCTGAGCCCTCATTCTCCCCTGCAAGCCTTTTTTATTCCTTCCCTACACACAGCACCTTCTGCCTCTCTTGCTCTCTCTCTCTCTCTCTGCAGGTTACACACACCAGACTTCAGAAACCACTCCCCATGGTGAGTACTGATGAGTAGCCTTTAGAAGCCCCTCTACCCTACCAGGAAAGGAAGTGACAGACCCCTGCCCACATCTCCAGCTCTCAGGGAGGGGAAGGGTCGGGGGACACAGGCTGGGGAGCCATTGTAATACCACACAGCTGTGAATCACTTTTGTGTTGTCACCTGAACACAGAGAAATGGCCACTAAATGTTGGTTGGGTGGATGGATGGAGGAAAACAAGTTAGCAACTGATTTGAAATAAATAATAAGTTTAGATGTAAATCGTCTTCAAAGCTGAGTAAGCTTCCAAATTGTTCCCTCCTTCACCTGCTGCATGTGATGGTCTAACCTCAACACTGTTGATTCTGGAATCAGGCCACAAGGACCATCAGCCCTCACTGTGTCTCCAGTGAGATGGCCAGTGGTCTTAGGATCATGGCCTCAGGCCCTGCCCACTACACCCACCCCAGGCCTGACTCAGTGTGGGCTCTGCTCTCCCTCCCCTGTTGCAGCCACAGGACCACCCCTGGTGCCTTTTACCCTCAACTTCACCATCACTAACCTGCACTACACAGATGACATGTGGCCTCCAGGCTCCTTGAAATTCAATACCACCGAGAAGTCCCTGCAGCCCCTGGTGAGAGCCCTGCCCATCGTGCTAGATCTGCCCACCTAACCTCTGCCAAGGACACTGATGCCAGCCCCACCCACTGTACCCTCTCCTGCTTGTTGAAACCATCTACCTAAACTCCCTCTTGCCCACTGATGACAACCCCTCCCACTCCTGCCCTGTCCATCAGTGCTAGCCCTGCCCACGTCACTCCTGTCCAACTATGGATGACCATCTTGCCCCTCCCTCTCCACCCATCAATTTATTTCCTTTGTCCTCACCCACAGCTCAAGGTCTTGTTCAAGAATACCAGTGTGGGCACCCTCTACTCAGGCTGCAGGCTGACCCGCCTCAGGTAAGACCTTGAATAGCCAGCCAGAGCAGCCTCGGGTGCTTCTAGATCTGAAGAGTTTGTTCTGCTTCTTCCTGCCCTCCCTGTCTGTGTTTTGAGAAGTGGAATTCAGGAGGTGTTTGCTCCAGGACCAGTGCTTCTTCTGACTGTATCTCCTCCCACCAACTGTCCCAGATTCTGCAGAGCTCATCAGCAGGATTGGATCCCTAGTCTGGTCATCCTTCTGAGTTTCCTCTTCCCTCCCTTTGACCAGTGAGGGCATTTCCTTTAGGTTTTCAATTCTGTTTCCAGCATTTTTCTCAAGACAAATGTGTCTTCCACTTGCTTTAATCCCAAATTCCATCTCTACGCATGTCTCTTATATGAGCTTTCCTGTCCCCAGGCCTTAAGGATACAGGTTTCTGCATTTCAATTTAATCATAATTTTCTCACCCACTGACAGTTTCTGCCTTGTAATTTAATAATTTTTCTACCCACTGACTCTGCTCACAGTGTGAGGATGGCCTGAGTCAGTGAGCTCAAAGAATCTAAGTCAGACTTCTCACCTCTCTACCGCCTCCTCATTTCCTATGGCTCATTCCTGTCCTGCCCCCAGAACTGTCAAGACCCCTCCCTAGGAATTCAGTTCATTTATTGTCACACACCCCCGTCATCCACCCTTTCCAGGCCCAAGAAGAAAGGGACAGCCACTGGAGTGGACATTGTCTGCACACACCGCCCTGACCCCGTGGTCCCCGGACTGGACAGGGAGCGGTTGTACTGGGAGCTGAGCCTGCTGACGGGTGGTTTCGCCCACTTGGACCCCTACACCCTAGACCAGGACAGTTTCTACATCAACGGTGAGGGGGGGGGCCATCTTTTTTGCATCTCAGCTTGTTTTAAATCCTCTCCATTGCCCTTTTCCCTAATCCCTCCCCTTCTTACCCTGTTTCTGCACATTCGCAGGTTACACCTACCAAACCCAGACCACCACCCCTAGCAGTGAGTATTCTGAGGTTCAGAAGTCTCTACAGCCCTGTAATTCCCAGACCTTAGTAAATAAAGAGTCCAGGAGTCCACTGCCTCCATGCCCCACCCCCACCTCACCTCCAGCCTGGGGAAAATGGGGACCAGTACCCACAGAGTCTAGAAGTGGCCACCTTCTCCCTAGCATCTCCAGAGTGATAATGTTCCCACTCAAGTACTGGGGATGCTTTCTCCCCAGTTTCTGTGATGCAGGTATCTACATCAATGCTGAGGGGCTGTGTTGGAGCTGGGTCTCCTCCTTCCCACTGAGTGGGCTCTATGGCAACAAGCTTCCAAGTTCAGACTCTCATTGGGGCCTCACATTTCAGAGGGATTTGAGCAAGGCTTTTGCCTCTCTGGGAAGGGAAGGGTGAATTTTGTGTCTTCCAGGTGAGTACTTTGTCTTCCTTTTAATGTATCCCAGCTGTGAGTCCAGCTGCCATCTCTCCAGTGGCCCATTTAACTTTTTATTTTCTATTTTTTATTGATTACAGAGAGGAAACTTTGTCTTCCTTTTAATGTATCCCAGCTGTGAGTCCACTGCCATCTCTCCAGTGGCCAATTTAACATTTATTTTCTATTTTTTATTGATTTCAGAGAGGAAGGGGGAGGGAAAGAGAGACAGAAACATCCATGAGAGAGAATCATTGATCAGCTGCCTCCAACACGCCTCACACTGGGGATCGAGCCTGCAGCCGGGGCATGTGCCAGACCAGGAATCTAACCGTGACCTCCTGGTTCATAGGTTGACACTCAGCCACTGAACCACGCTGGCCAGGCCAATTTGCTTTCCTGTGGAAGATGTCTTCCTTCCCCCTTCCTCACCATCTTCCCCTCTCTTTACAGGTTACACCCATTTGGCATCAGCCACCACCCCCAATAGTGAGTATTTCAGATTTCTGTGTACCTGTGACCACTGCCCTGTCCCTAAAAATAAGCTACTCAACCAGCCAACTCTTTCCTCCTGTTACCACCCCTGCCTGTGAGGATGGGAAGGAGTCCAGAGGTCATGCATAGGAATGTGGTTAAACTAGGGGTGTGAGGAGTCACCCTTCCTCCCTACTCCCCATACAACTGACCCCAGGATAAATGATGCATAGAGAGAGGTGCACATTTTTATAACTAGAACCACCACTAATGCCACCATTCCCTTAAGATTACAGTACACTTTAGATTTTATTCCTGGTTTTTTTCCCCTCAGTTCCTGTGACATCCATACCCTTCATTTCTCTGGCTCCATCCCCCTCCAGCAGGCTCACAGGTAGGCACCAAATCCTCTCTGCAAAATCACTCATACTAGATCACTTCTCTCATTGCTCACTCCCCTTCTAGTGATAATAGATCGCTCTTCTTGTTGTTCACTCATTCATTTATGTGGATTTCAGGCACCACCTAGCTATTCAGGGTCCAGCTGCTTAGAATCCAGATCCTGAGTCCAGCCCACATCACACAGCTGCTACTGACCTTTGGTCCACCCACCTCCTAGATACCATCCAGCCCCTTGGTCTCTGACCCTAAAGTCATCATCTTTTCCCAAACTTACTCTTTCTCCTCATCACCAAAGGCAGGCTCCAGACTTGACCTACTCTGTCGCTCACCTCCTGCCTCAATCCATCACCAGATCATCTCCTCTCCTGACGGAATATCTTATGATTCCTTCTTTTCTCTGCCTCTGCATCACTTGGCCTTTATTCAGGCCACCTGCATTTTTTTGCTAGGGCAGTTGTAGATGCCTCCAGTCTAGCCTGCTACAGTCCACACAGCAGCTGTATCCTCCCTCCCGATGTTCACATAATTCCTGTCTGTTGAGAATCTTTGGATGACCACCTGCTCTGTAAATCACATCCAAACCCCTGAGCTGCATAGACACTGCCTCCCCTTCCTGGGCTCAGAGACTCCCTCCAATTTCATGTCTAGACTCCCCAAAGGCCACAGTGAAAGGACTTCAAGTTCCTTAAGTGCAACTGCTCTGCCCTCCTGTCGGGCCTTGTTCCTTCTGCTTGAGCACTTTTTCCACTTGCTCAGCTCCTGTCACCTAACTCTAACTTGAGCTTTTGGTGAGACCAGAAATGATGTTTTCTCTGGGAGGCTTTCCCCAGTCGTTGATGGTGTGTCTGTCTTTGAATGGCACATCTTCTGGCTTCCCTGCATCATAATGCTCTGGTCCCTCTCCTGGCCACAACATTAGGAGACTATGCCCTATTCATCTTTGATCCACAGAGTCCAGCACAGAGCCTCTCACACAGTAGGGCTCAATAGATGCTCACTGAATAAATGAGTGGAGGTTCCCGATGTCTTAGTAATTCCATAACATTCTCTCTTTCAGCTCCTGCAGCCTGTGGCTGTACTTAGTCCACTGCTGGTGCCCCCTGGTTATAGCCCCAGGCACCCTTGGTGTTTACTGTGATCCCAGCTGAACATATTTCTCTTCCTCCCCCACAGTGGCCACTGCCCCCACCCTGGTGTTCTTCACCCTGAACTTCACCATCACCGACCTGCTCTACACGGAGGACATGGGACACCCAGCTTCCTTGAAGTTCAATTCCACTGAGAGGGTCCTACTGCACCACGTGAGGGCTCTTCAACGACCAGCGTCAGCCCCACCTCATGCCGGCCCACAGTCCTCAGCCCTTCTGCTCACCACCTCCTTTTCCCTTCCAGTTGCGGCTCTTGCTTGGTAAGACCAGTGTCGGCCCCCTCTTCTCACACTGCAGACTGGCTTCACTCAGGTGAGACCCCCAGATAGAGTGACTTATCAGGCCAAGTGGACCCTCATAATACCAGCCAACAGAGCTCAATTCTTGGACATGTCCCTGGCACTGCTGGCCTTCAGCACCCTCCATGATACCTCCATGCTTCTTTGTGCCCAGAGGTAGTGAGAATGCTCAAGGCTTACAAATGAAGCATTGTGTTTATAGTTCATGTAATTCAGAGAACATTTTGTTCTCATTGAAGGTTTTCCTATTAGAGAACTACTGCATCCTGTCTGCAAATTCTAATTAAAATGTTTTCTGTGCCTAATTGTGAAATGTCAGATGAGACATTTAAGAGAGTCCCAACAAGGCTTCAAAGCTACCCCTTCAGCATTTGCTCAGCCTACTCCCTTACACTTTCCTCTTTCCACACCCAAAAGGACCCCCTTCCATATCCCACATCCCCATGTCCTTCCTTCTCCAGGGTTGAGAAACATGGAGCAGCCACCGGTGTGGACATTGTTTGCACCCAGCACTCTAACCATGGGGGCCCCAGGCTGGACAGAGAGCAGCTGTATTGGGAGCTGAGCCATGAGACCCATGGTGTCACCCGGCTGGGTTCCTTCACCCTGGACAGGAACAGCCTTCACGTCAATGGTGAGGAGTTAGCTACAACCATGATCTCTCCAAGTTGGGGTTTGTGTTGCCTCCATTTCTCTAAAGCAGAGGTCCTCAAACTATGGCCCGTGGGCCACATGCGGCCCGCCGAAAACATTTATCCCGCCCGCCGGGTGTTTTTGCCGCCGCTGCCTGTCCTGCTTAGCAGCCGACTCGTCCTGGGCCCGCAGTGCACATGTGTGGAATGTCTGAGGGACAGTGAACTGGCCTCCTGTTTAAAAAGTTTGAAGACCTCTGCTCTAAAGCAATAAATCATCCATCCTTTCTTCCTTTTGGTCTGGGTTCAGTCTTCCTTGTGATGAAGTAATCACTGGGTCTAGCCACCTTCAATCTCATTGCTCGGTTTCCTCCTCCTTGAATATTTTCCCACTGCCTTTCACCTCTACTTTTATCACACAAAAAAATCCCTTTCCCTTAATCTTTATGTTCATCCCAAAACTCACTCAGTTCCTCTCGCCTTCTCTCTGCAGGTTACACCTTGCAAGTCACAACCATGACTCCCACCAGTGAGTATTCCTGGCCCCTATTTCCTGGGTTCCATTCCCACTTCAGTTTTGGAAAGCATTTGTTCTCCTTCACCTTCTGTCCTTGGTGAGAGAAACACCTGGAAGGGCCCCTATCACATCCCTTCTCTTTCTCCCGGGGTTCTGGTGGAGAATTCCAGCCCAGGGTGAGAAAATCTTAGACACTGACATGTTTTCCCATATCTGACCCTCACATGGTTTTCATTTTAATTTTTCTAAAACCTTACCCTGGGTTCTCTTTTCTTATCCTTTCATTTGTATCTTTGTTGTTATTAGAGTTTCTCAGCATCATTTTTAGTGATTTCCACTCACTACCTTCCAGGCACCATCTGTGTTGCATACTGTATTAGTCAGTTCTGGCCGCCATAACAAAATACTGGGTGGCTCAAGCAACAGAAATTATTTTCTCACAGTCCTGGAGGCTGCAAGTCCAAGATCAAATTGCAGGCAGGGGTGGTTTCCTCTGAGGCCTTTCTCCTTGGCTTGCAGATGGCTTCCCCCTTGCTGCCTTTTCACATGGTTGTCCCTCTGCACACACATCCCTAGTCTCTCTGTGTGTTCTAATCCCCTCTCCTTATAAGGACATCAGTCAGATTGGATGAGTGCCCCTCCACCAGTGGCCTCATTTTAACTTAATTACCTCTTTAAAGGACCCTATCCCAAATACAGTCACCTACAGGCAGTAGTTATTAGGGTTACAATATATGAATTTTGGGGGAGGACACAATTTATCCCAAAACATATACACTCTGTCCTTTAATTCTCACTACAACCGTGTGACTTAGCTCCATTTTACAGATGGCAAAGCTCAGGCTAAAAGAGGCTGCCAGCCCACACAGCAAATAAATAATAGAATCCAGAGTCCCTGTGGTTCCAAAACTTATGCTCTAACTCTCCATTATGGGTTAATTTATTTCAAAAGGCTTATTTTTGGTGCACACCTACTGTGTTTTAGTTTATGGGCCAAACTCCCTTTGCATCTGAAGCACTGCAATGAAAACATTGAAGGTTTTCAATAATTAATCACCCTTGCATTAGGGTGTGTTTTCTCAAACTGTACTTGGGTCCAACTACCCTCCTTTACTTTTTCCAAACCATGACAGGCCTCTGGGCTCCTGAGGTCCAATAACAACCATCCTTTCCTAAATCATATTAGGAAAAGTAAGTTAAAGTCAGCTCCATTGACTGTGTTTTGTTTATCACTATACAGTCCTGGGAATAGTTCCTGGAGCATTATAGGAACAAGTAAATGCACATGGAGGCAACACAAAATTGATGGATGAAAAGAAGGAAGAGGTGATGAATGGAGGAAGGGAAGGAGAGAAGATGGAAGAGCAGATGGAAGGGAGAAAAGATGAATAGAAGAGAAAAGAGTAAGGAGGGAGGAAAGATGTATAAAATAGATGGAAGGAAAGAAGAGGGATGGGAGGAATTAAAGATGGATGGATAGATGGAAGAAGGGGATAGGAGGATGGACAGAAGGATGCATAAAAGGATGTGTAAATGGGAAGAAGTAAGGAAGAGAAGCACTGAGGTAGGAAGGAACGATGGATGGAAGGATGGATGGGTGGATAGATAGATGATAGAGAAAGAAAGGAAAGGAAGAAGAAAAGATGGATGGATGAAAGTGAAAATGGAAGAAGGAAGGAAGCAAGGATCCATATATGGATGAAATGAAAGATGGATGGAAAGGTAGAAGGAAGTTTGGACAGAAGGAAGCTTAAAAGGAGTGATAACAGAGTAGAGGGAAGGAGGAAGGAGGGGAGGTAAGCTCCCTCCCCCCCGCAGAGTTTTGTCTTAAACACTGTGCTCCTGCATCACCTACCTATTCTAGAGTCAAGCCATGGGACCACTAGTCTTACCTGTATCATATGTTCATTTATTCTACTTCTATCGAGGTCTACACAGGTCATCCCAACTATTAAACATTATATCAGCTGCCTGTTGTCCTCTGAGCCAGAGCACAGCAGGGGTGGTCACAAGCAAGGTCTGGGGTCCAAACCAGATTTTCCCTCCCTTCAGCCATGTGACCTTGGGCAGATGACCATTTCTGTGCTTTGGTTTCCTACTTTATTTAACGTGGGTAATCCTAGAACCAGATTATATTTATCCATGTAAAAAGCTTTGACATAGTAAGGAGGTGTTTGCTTATTAATTTTATGTAATGAATCTTCATATAGTGTTTACTCTGTACCCAGCACTGTGCTTAAGCATATTACAAAAACTAACTTGTTTAAACCTTAAACTTTGAAGTAGGAACCATTATTATCTCATCTTACAGATGAGTAAATTGAGGTGCAGAGCCCTAGCTGGTTTGGCTCAGTGGATAGAGTGTCGTGTCGGCCTGCAGACTGAAGGGTCCCGGGTTTGATTCCAATCAAGGGCACATGCCTGGGTTGTGGGCTTGATCCCCAGCAGGGGGTAGGCAGGAGGCAGCTGATCAATGATTCTCTCTCATCATTGATGTTTCTATCTCTTTCTCCCTCTCCCTCACTGAAATCAATAAAAACATATTTTTGTAAAAAAAGTTGAGGTGCAGAGAGGTTGGTTATAGCTGCTAGGATTTTTAAACTTTTTAAATCGACGCATCGAAGGTTGACATACCTGGTTGTATTGGCAGGAGAGATAATAGATAGATAGATAGATAGATAGATAGATAGATAGATAGATAGATAGATAGATAGATAATAGGTAGATAGGTAACATAGGTATATAGAAATAGCAATGATAAATAGATGAGAGATTAGATCTATCTCCTGCACTTACAACCAGGTATGCCAATCTTCTGTGCAGTAGTTTAAGGAGCCAACAATTCTCATAGACATAAATATAGACTTAGATATCTATCTATCTATCAAAAGGAAGAAAGAAAGAGACTGAGGCACAGGGAGACAAAGATAGAGATGGGGAGCAGAAAGAATATGGATAAAAACACCAGGGGTCATTAGTTCCCCACCAGCGTGGCAAGTTGGAGACTTTTCTCCTGGGAAAGTAAAAAGCCACCTTGTTTCCTCAGAGCCCTCCACTCCTGCATCTGGGTAGAAATGTCTCATCTTGATGCCCCAAAGTCAGTAAGCCTGCTCCACTCACTGTTGGAGTTGTCTCCATTAACAAGTGACCCTCAGGCTAATCAGGAGAAGGACATGGGCCCCATGAATCCCTAGTCATAAGTAGACATTGGGCCCCCCAAACTCCCTGCAAGCCTTGGCTCTCCTCCCATCATAGCTGCGGAGGTCAGTGAGGAGCCTTTCACACTGAATTTCACCATCGACAACCTGCACTACACAGCGGACATGAGCCATCGGGGCTCCCACATGTTCAACATCACAGACATCCTCATGCAGCATCTGGTGAGAGACCTGCTTACCCCTCCCACCTCTCCATGACCCATCACAGGGATTGTTGCCCACCTTTGACCAATACTGGCTCTCTCCTTCCTCTCCAGATCAGCCCGTTGTTCAGGAACAGCAGCCTTGGTCCCCGATATGCAGGTTGCAAGGTCACCTCGCTAAGGTGAGAACACCCCCCTCCATAGCCCACCACCAAAGGACATGGGCTTCTCTCTGTGGGGCTGCCCGTGGTTGTGGCAGGCTATTCGGGGAAGGGGGGGTCTTTTCTGCATCCATTTAAAAAGTATCACATTATTAATTTTTTATATTGTGACAAAATACATATAGACACAAAATTATCCATTTAAACCATTTTAAGTGTACAATTCAGTGGCATCAATTACATGCACAATGGTGTGCACCCATCATCACTACCTAGTTTCAGAACTTTTCATCACCCCAAGCAGAAACTCTGTACCCATTGGGCAGTTATTCTCATGTCTCTGGATCAGTTTTTGTTCCGTTGGTGTTTATGAAGTACTTCTCAGTTGGTATTTTAATTAAACTGACATGATGGTACAGCACCTATGAGGCAGGTGGTAGGTACCACAGTGGCACTTCCTCTGCCCTCATCTAGTGGAGAAATCAGACAGGAATCAGGAGAGTGAGTATTGAAGTAAAGTGCTTGCAAATGCGATAAGGTGATGCAAAGCATAAATAAGTAGAGAGTTATGGGAAAGGAGTTTTACCCCAAGGACAGGGTAGTTTCTCTGTGGAGGTGACTTCTGAGCTGTGTCCCAGAAGGATTTGGTCATGAAAACTGTTCTAGGCATAGGGGACAGCCCATGAAAAGACCCTGTGGTAGAAATGAACTTGGCAAGTTCATTGAACAGCAAGGAGGCCAGTGTGGCTGGAGCAGAGAGAGAACAGGTTAGCGAGAGGGAGGAGATGAGATTTGAGATATCTACACCATGTAGAGCCTTGAAGGAAGTTGAACTTTTGTAATTTTGGTAAAATACACGTAACAAACTTACCATCTGAACCATTTTAAAGCATACAGTTTTGTAGTATGAAGTATATTCACATTGCTGTGAAACCAGTCTCCAGAACTTGCAAAACTTAAATTCTGTATCCACAAAACAACAACTTCCCATTTCTCTCTACCCCCAATCTTGGCACCCACCATTCTGCATTCTGTCTATATGAGTCTGACTACTCCGGATATGAATAGAATTATGCAGCCTTTGTCTTTTTGTGATGCTTATTCAATTACCGTAGGTCTTTAAGGTTCATCCATGTTGTAGCATGGCAGAATTGTCTTTCTTTTTAAGGCTGAATAATATTCCACTGCATGTATAGATCAGATTTTGTTTATTAATTCAGTAGGACTTTGGATTTTACATAGAACAGGCAATGTGCTAGGTGCTGGGTGTTCAACACGACAACAATGAATTACACTGTCCCATTCCCTGACCTCATGGAGGTCAACGACTGGAGGGAACAGGGACAACTAATACATGCTCGCATAGTGGATGAGCAGGGTTGCAATCACAGAAGAGGTTCCTGACCGCCTGGGAGGGTTCTCTGAGGAAGGGGAGGTGCGTAAGTTGACACCTGAAAGATGACCAGGAAATTGCCCAGGTAAGGAAAGAAGGGAAGAGACTTCCAGACAGAAGTCACTGGAAGTGCAAAGATCCCAAGATGAGAGAGTGTGGCCAGGTAGAGAAACTATAAAAGGTTCAAGAAGTCTGAAACACAGGACCTGGAGTGTGTAGTTACCACAGGTAGAGAGGTGCCAAGAGAACTGCATCCCCCAAAGGTGAACCTCTTCTTCCCCAGGTCTGTGAAGAATGGCGCCAAGACAGGGGTGGACTTGCTCTGCACCTACCGCCAGCCCTCCAGCGGCCCAGGTCTGCCTGCCAAGCAGCTGTTCCATGAGCTGATCTGGCAAACCCACGGCATCACGAAGCTGGGCTCCTACTCTCTGGATAAGGACAGCCTCTACCTCAATGGTTAGCAGTTCTCAGCCCATTCCACTGGGGCCACCCCCTAACTCCAGAGGATTCCCTTTTACCAGTTCTCTAGGGAAAAAGTTGAGACAAGCTCAGGTGTGAATCTCTACTCCACACTGATTCTTCTCCCTCACCCCACTAAACTGGTCCTTGATTAAACCTGTTTTACAGAAGAATAAACTGAGGCCTAGAAAGGTTAAATAATTTGCCCAAGTGGGTGTAGCTTGAGAGTTGTGGACCCAGGTCATAATCAGCATCTAATGCCAGTCTTTCAAGGGGATTCTTGGGGAAAGAAAATCGCACATCTATCTCCCCTCCCTGCTCTCTTCTCACCCTTGACTAAGGATAGACTTCTGTTCTGGGTGGGACCCTATACCAGGAAGGAGGGAAGGCACTCTGAGCATCTAGGAGGCCCAGGCTTCCGACACACTGGCCATCAGCCTATAATCCAAGAAGTGACAGCATTTAAGAGGGTGACATTCATCTGGTGTTCTGAGAGACAGAGCTTGGTCATAGTAGGATAATTGCAATGACTCAGCTTCCCTCCTCCATCTACAACCTGGAAATTATACTTGGCAACTAACACTTCCTTATCATCATGGCCCCATCAGGTGGTCAGGGAGACATTCTGGTCCTTTGTGACTCCCACTTTAGCAAGGAGGGAAATGGAGCTCAGAGGAAGGAGGGGACCTGCACACACGCACAGTAGGTTTATGGCCAGTCTGCATCTTGATGTTCTGAGTTCACATCTGTTGCCTTCACCTTGGCCATTACAGGGCCCACTTTTGGATTTCCCCCCTTTGGAAACTGCACAACCTATATGCTTCATTTTGTTCACTCACTCAGCATTTGCCAAGCATCTGCTGTAAGCCAGGCACCAGGGACAAAGACAGGCTACATGCACAACCTGACATCATGTAACCTCCAATGGGACAGAAACTGTTTTGTTCACTGTATGTTCCCCAAATGTAATGGAACTTGGCACATAGTAAGCCTGAACAACTATTCATTGGACGGAGGGATAGATGGAGAGAGAATGGAAGGGAAGATGGTGGAGTGTATGGATATGGAAGGGGGGGAATAAATGTATGAACATAAATGTGTATCTTTTGTTGGAGGTACGCTGGATAGGTGGATGGAGAAGGGTTGTTTTTAATGGAAAGATCAAGAAAGCCCTCATAGTGGATATGACATTTGCGTCTCATCTTAGAATATGCCTCGATGCTCACCTGGTACACATAGGGAAAGGAATCCAGGCAGGAGTCCCACATGACTCAAATGCATGGAATACCTGGGATTATTCTGCCACTTCCCTTATTTGTGACTTGTTCATTTCCAGGTTATAATGAACGTGGTCCAGATGAGCCTCCTACAAGTACGTATCTTTGCCTCTAGTGCTCATTTTAGACTCCTTAGTTCTTGAGCCAAGCTTTTCTCCTCACTGACAAAGGGAGCTTGCCCTAAACCCAGGCCGGTCTTCTGAGTAGGGCCAATGTGTCGGTGGGAGGAAGAATGCTGAGTCCTTGGCCTGTTTTTGGACCTTCTTCCATGATAATGGCTTTCTAATTTCTCCACATCCCTTTGGGTTAGAATAAGAAATTTTAACAAGACTTCCCTACAGGGATGGGGTTGAGGTCACGTAGTAACTTTTAGTTCATGCCTCCTGAAAACAAAATCTCTTACAGGGGCCCCATGAGGGGCCTCGGCATCAAACTGCAGACTGTAGGGGGCTACTCAGTGGTTAGGCCAAATTTTCCCATGAACTCATCCAGTGGTTCCTTTGTTTATCTTTTAACCCATCTATTCTTCCATTATTCCAGTTACCCTTTCTCTCAAATACCTTCTTTTCTCCCTCTTTCCCCTCTTCCCAACACCTCCCTCCTTTGATCCATTCCTTCCTTCCTTTCTTCATTCTTTTCTTCGATTCATCCATCCAGACAATCATCCTTCTGCTTATTTACCTGTGTCTATTCTTTCCGTCCTTCCATCCATCTCTCCAACTCTACTTCTTTATGCTCTTCTTCTCTCCTTTTTTACTATCTGTCCACTCAGCCTTCTGACCATTCACCTGTTTGTTCTTTCCTACATCTGTCCTTCCCTCCTATTTTCCTTCCATCTCTCCAACTTCTGTTCCTTGTCTTTATTCTTCCTGCTTTCTCTTTGACCCTTCATTTGTTCATTCTTCCTCTGTCCATCCAGGTATCCCATTTGTCTGTCCATTTTCTGCCCGCCCATCTATCTGTCCTCTTTGTTTAGTCTGTCTATCATTCACCCGCTCTCACTCTCTTGAATTCGTTTCATTTACAGGTTTGCTCACCCCTATACTCACACAGTTACACCTTTCCTCACTCTCATTTATGATACACCTGTGAGTGGTTTTCCTAGGACAACTGCTGGAGTCCATGAGACTCTGATGGAACTTTCCCCCTTTGTCGGGGGGCGGGGGGCGGGGGGCGGGTCTGTCCCTCACTGATGACTGCCTTTTTTATAGCTTCTGAACCAGCCACTACAGTCCTGCCCACTTTGTCATCATCTGTGCAACCAGAAGCAACCACAGGTATTTGATGGGGCCCTTTTCCTTCCTAAGAGAAGCTCTCAAGCCCCACCAGACAATTGTCACATAGGAACTGGTGAGCTAGGCTGTGAAATTCTGGTTTTAGGGCAACCAATTATACCAACAATTCAATTTAATACCTAACCTCGTGGAGCCTCCAGGCTTGTGAGATTAACAGACCATTATAACAAAATGTGGGATGTTTTGGGAAGAAGCATCTGGTATAATTTGAATGGGAATAGCTTTCTGGTGAAAGTTACCCACATGGAGCCTTTAAGAAGGAGTAGGAATGCTCTAGTCCAGTGATGGCGAACCTTTTGAGCTCGGCATGTCAGCATTTTGAAAAACCCTAACTTAACTCTGGTGCCGTGTCACATATAGAAATTTTTTTATATTTGCAACCATAGTAAAACAAAGATGTATATTTTTGATATTTATTTTATATATTTAAATGCCATTTAACAAAGAAAAATCAACCAAAAAAATGAGTTCACGTGTCACCTCTGACACGCGTGTCATAGGTTTGTCATCACTGCTCTAGTCAAATAGGGCATGGAGAAGGAGATCACCTGGTAGAGGGGATTGATCAAAGGGTCAGTAGGCACAAACAGCATAGTGTAGTGAAATTGAGAGGGATTTCATTTACCTGAAGTATAAAGCTTAATATGGAGTAGATGGATAAATGAAACTGAAATATTGGTAAGAACAAGATTAGGAAGGAACTTGAGTGCCAGGTCATTATAAGCTTGAACCTAATGCTGAAGGCCATAGGGTGTCATGGATGATAAAGAGCAGTGGTGACCATAGTGAAACTTTCATTTAAGAAAATTTCTACTACTATTCAGTGTGGAGAACATCTTTTAGACAGGGTGTCTAGTGTGCCTGCTGGGGCATTGGTCCAGGTGAGAGAAGGTAAGAACTGGGCTGGGAGAAGATGGAGAGAGGTGATGTATGTGAGAATCATTCACATGTGGAGTTGGTAGTACTTGGAGGTGAGATGAGTAATACTCATATTTCTGAGTGTTTCTGATGGTTTTGACTTGACCACACCAGTACCACTGGAAAAGAAGACAACAGATTATCATGATTTATCATGATTACAGGACTCAGGCTGGCTTTCAGTGACTGCCATCTAACCCCTTCTCTTCCTACAGTTCTGTTGTACAACTTGGAGACCCTCACACTCAACTTTACCATCTCCAACCTCCAGTATTCAGTAGACATGGGAAGTGGCTCGGCCATGTTCAACTCTACTCAGAGTATCCTGCAGGACCTGGTGAGACCCTGGTCCCAGCAGCTCCTGGTCGGGTAAATCCCACCCAGCCTCTTAGCCAACCCTCCTGCTCATCCTCTTCCTCCTTCCTCTCCAGCTCAGATCCTTGTTTATGAAGAGCAGTCTGGGCCCCTACTACTCGGGTTGCAGACTGATCTCCCTCAGGTAAGACTCTTTCCTGAGCATTTGCCATAATGGCCACTTGTGGTGACCACCCCCTTTTCAGTCTTCCCACCGACCTCACATTAGCTTCTCCATCTTTCTGGCCCCCACACCCAGCAGTTTCAGGATCTCTCTCTTTCTAGAGTTCCCACATGCCTCTCCCCCCAGGCCTGAGAAAGATGGAGCAGCCACCAGGGTGGATATCATCTGCACCTATCACCCTGACCCCTTGAACCCCGGGCTAGACAGAGATCGACTTTACTGGGAGCTGAGCCAGCTGACCCACAGTGTCACCCAGATGGGTCGCTATACCCTGGTCAGGGGCAGCCTCTTTGTCAATGGTGAGTGTTTATCCTGAACTTGGATTTACAGTGTTCATTACATGTCTTTGTTTTATTTTAGTTCCTCTTTAAGAAATCAGTCTAAGCTCAGGCTGGGAGATACCCTCCCCAACCTCCATGGGGAGGGTATTTCCTATTATTTCTGGTAAAAACATGAAATTCTTTAACTAAATTAATATAATACATTTTAATGCAAAATCAAAATTACAGACACATAGTATCTAAGCAAGGTTCCTCTAAGCCAGTTGTTCCAACCCAGGGGCAATTCTGCTCCTTCCCACCCCCCCTTTCCCCCAGTAGACACTGGGCAATGTCTGGAGACATTTTTGATTGTCACAACTGGGATAAGGTGCTACTGGCATCTAGTAGACAGAGGCTGAGATGTTGCTAATATTCCTTCAATATACAGGAGAACCCCACCACCAAGAATCATATAGCCCCAAATGGCAGTAGTTCTGAAGACGAGAGACCCTGCTGTCCATGGTCCATAGGCCCTAGATAGGCAGCACACCAACACTTATCACACTTCACTGCAATTACTTGTTTTATTGTCCAACTCTAATCAGGATTTGCCTACTGGGATGCTAGAGCCTTAGTTCTTAATAAGTTGGCACATTGTGGTACTCAATAAGTGAATGAACAAATAAAAGATGAGAATATCAGCCCCTCATCTGTAGGTATCTGCTGCAGTTCCCATTCATTCATTCAGCAAACACACATGTGTGACAATTCTGTACCAAACTATGTGTTGGGTGGATATGGAGATAAAAGACACAGCTTTTGTCACTGGAAAACTCATGGTCAAGTGAACTAATGATTACTTAGGGTCACAAAAATGGCAGCAACATTATATAACTGGTTGCTATGGGATGAGAGATGGGAGGGGAACAAGTCAAGGAAGGCTTCCTGAAAAATATTATGTGCCCAGACCTGTGTTAGATCCTGGGGCATGACAAGAACAAGATAGATGGGTGGGTTCCTACTCTCCTGGAGCTCCATACCTTGGGCTTCTGTAACATGAATAGGAGTTTTCCAGGAAGAGGGTGGAAAAGCATTCTACAAAGTGGTAACTGCATAAGCACAAACATAAAAACTCAGCTTAGGAGAATCCCTGTAAAACTCCGAGTTTCCCCCTCTTTGGGTGACTTTCCATTTGGGAACCCCCACAGTCCCCAGAGGATAAACCTCTGTGATGCCATGCCTCCATGCTGAAAGTTGAGCATCTTGCCTGGCCTGTGTTGCTCAGTGGTTAAGCATCAACCTATGAACCAGGAGATGATGGTTCAAGTCCCTTTCAGGGCACATTTTCCAGTTGCAGGCTTGATCCCCAGTAGGGGGCATGCAGGAGGCAGCCAATCAATTATTCTCTCTCATCATTGATGTTTCTATCTCTCCCTCTCCCTTACTCTCTAAAATCAATAAATATATATATTAAAAAATAGTAAAAAGAAAAATAATTGTTGAGCATCTTGGCATGTCTTTTTTTTCTTTTCATGGCCCTAGGCTATGCCCCACAGGATTTATCTATTCAGAGTGAGTACCAGCTAAATTTCCGCATCATCAACTGGAACCTCAGCAACCCAGACCCCATGTCCTCCGAGTACACCTCCCTGCTGAGGGACATCCAGGACAAGGTGTAGTCTCTCTCGCCCATCTTATATCTCCTTGCTCTGGGTACCCCTCTCATTCTTCTAACTTACATCTATCTATTAACTGATTGTTTCAGCACTTCACTTTACTCTAGTTTTCTGAGTTCTCTCAGTTTCTGGAGGCAGAACCATGTCTGCCTTTCCCATTCCCAGATGAGCAAAGTGAGGCTCAGAAATGGGTATCTGCTTTAAGTCACACAGTGAGTTGGGGGCAGAGCGAGGATTTGAACTCAGTTCTCCCTTGCTCCAAGGCCTACTTCCCCATTCCCAGATGAGCAAAGTGAGGCTCAGAAATGGGAGTCTGTGCTTTCAGTCACACAGTGAGTTGGGGGCAGAGTGAGTATTTGAACTCAGTTCTCCCTTGCTCCAAGGCCTGTGTTCTTTCACTGGCTCCAGTGGCTGCCTCCAGCCCCTAGGGACCTCTCTCACCCACTCTTCCTCCCCTTCATTCTAGGTCACCAAACTCTACAGAGGCAGCCAGCTAGGAGATGCATTCTACTCCTGCCTGGTTACTGACTTGAAGTAAGTTGAGGAGATTGGAAGTCTCGGCTGAGTTGGTGGCTTTTGCTCTGAGCTCCTGTGGTGTATCTTGTTCTGAAAGTCCTAACATTGTGCCCATTCTCCCCACATTCCTGTCAGCTAATCCTACCGTCTCCTTCTATAGGTTTTCAGGGGTGGGTAAAGAACTAACCTCATGGGGCCACCAACCATCAGTATCTACCACCTTCTCCTCTTCTGGACACTTTCAACCAGTATCATCTCAATAATAAGATTTACCGTGGCCAGCCTCTCTGCTGAGCACTTTCATGCATGATCATCTCACTTAATTCTCATCACAGCCTCATGAAGTGGATACAATGATTGTCCCCATTGTTCAGATGGGAAAACTGAGGCTCAGCAAAGTAAACAGCCCAAGAACTGTCCAAGTTGGGATTGCACCCAGTCTCTGAGTGATGGGTGGAGGAACTAGGAAATCTACACAGTAGAGGAGGATCATGAGGCATATGATTTTGAATATTGAAGTTGAATATTGAATTTTGAATATTTCCTAACTTAAGTTTCTTTGTGGGGATAGTTGTAATAATACCTTCCACCACAGTGATGATAAGGGAATGTGTAAGTCACTTCTTAGGGATGCCTAGTAGATGTTCATTATTATTACTGTTACTGTTTTTATTCTCAACTCCTAAACACCTTTCATAAAGCAGGAACTCAGGGGACACTGCTGGTGTTGGATGCTGGCTGAGTCCCCATGGTCTCTGATTCTAGGCTGGGCTCCGTGACAGTCACTATCCAGGAACTCTTCTCCTCCAGTGTAGACCCCAGAATGGTGAAACAAATCTTTCTAGACAAGACCCTCAATGCTTCATCCCACTGGCTGGGTGCCACCTACCATTTGGCAGATATTCAAGTGACAGGTACAAGACGGGGAACTGGTTTCATGGCTTGTGGAGATGGGCTTTGAGGAAGGATGGGTCTTCTCAGTAGCAATGGAACCGATGTAGGCTTGGGAGGGAAAAGTGTTACTCTTTTGGAGGTCCATGTTGATGAACCATATTCATGGCCATGGATCATCCAACATGAGGCAGAAAAGAATATGCAGCAATCATACACCTCCCCACCGACCTTATCCTCCCCATCCTCAAAGGGATGCTTATTTTTACACAAATTTAGAGGGTCCTGAGTTGCCTTTTTAGGCCCTCTGTGAGTCATTTATTATTCATTCATTCAACTATTATTTAATGCAAGTTAATAGGTACTGATAATGCATTGTGAAAATTTCTATAAAGGGATTTCAAGAGCCTGTGGGAACCTCAAGGAGGGACACACATCCCTGTCTTAGAATGTTTTCATAAGGAAGTGATGAAGAAACTAAGATGTGATGGAGAACATGACCTAGCCTGTGGGGGACGTGGGATAAATAGTTGTGCTACATGTGTCTTTAACCTAGAAGATAGAAAGAGCATGGCATATTTGGGGACGCTATACGAGGTATCTTGTGGCTGGTGCATGCACTTTGACATGGGGAAGGTGACCGTTGAGGCTAAAGAGGTGGTCAGGGACTTTCTTGGGCACTGGAATGGTTTGTGGAGGAACATAAAACACTTTGCGTTCTACTTTTGAAAGCTCGTTTCCTGGGTGCTTTGTGGAGAATGGATTGAGAGAGGGAAGGAGACTGAAAGCAGCAAAAAACATTAGGAGCCTAGGCCAACAAAGGTGTGTGACAGATGCCTGCTGGGTTGGTCAGCCCCTGCACTTGCCAGCTACACCTCAGAGAGGCCCATTCTACTCTCCCAGACATCCTAGGGAACTCCCAGAATTCTTGATGGAAAGGGGGTTGTGCAGGTAGATAAATGAATAGATTCAAAGTGGACAGGTGGATGGAGGATCTTCTGGAGCCCATCTTAAAAAACCCAGTTCAGGTCACATTACCAGCAATAAGTAGACTGGTTTAAATGACCTCTTGTTAAATCCTTCCCCACTAGCTTGGTGCCACCTACCATTTGGCAGATATTTAGTATTGAAGTTGAATATTGAATTTTGAATATTTTGAATTTTGATTATTTTGAATATTTCAACTTCAGTATTGGAATTTTATATTCTCTTTTTATTCTAGAAGTGGAGGCATCAGTTCATCTGCCAACAGACAAACCAACAAGCAGTCCCAGCCCTCAGCACCTCCAGCTGAATTTCACTGTCACCAATCTACTCTATGTCCAGGACATAGGTCTACCAGGCACCACCACACACCAGCGGAACAAAAGAAGCATGGAGAATGCGGTGAGAATGCAGTTGTGTCCACTCTGTTTCCATGTAGAGACTGGCCTATAGATCTACATAGTCAGTTGGTGACTTTCATAACAATTCATGAATACCAGTTCTTATTCCCATTTTGCAAATGAAGAAATAGGTACACATGTAGCTAAGTCCTACCAAGAAACACAGCCTTTTTTGGTACACATACCTTCACTAGTCTTTGTTGAGCCAAGAAAAAAACAGATGGAGAAGTTTGCTCAGTGGCTGAACATTCTCTGAGAAAGCCTGGGGTTCTGATGAGAGAAACTTTACCCTGTCTTTCAGCTCAACCAGCTCTTCCGAAACAGCAGCATCAAGAATTATTTTTCTGACTGTCAAATTATAGCATTCAGGTGAGTTCCAAATCAAGGCCCAATGCCTCTGTAAACTTCTCTTTTACATAAAGGATATACGATCTTCTTTAGGTAAGAGAATCCCTATGCTATAATCTCTCAGTTCCTAGCTGTTACAGAAGAGAGCCCTAGGGATATAGAACTGTTACTTTAAAAAATAGCCTCACTAGAGATGGAGGTGCCTGGTTCTGGGGTCCATGGGATATGGCTTGTAGAAAACATTTCTTTAGAAATCAGCTCCTGAATCCACAGCCCATACAAGATGGGGGCTATCATGAGATGGCTTAAAATTCAGCAGTCTGATTGTGTTGTCCAGTAGTGTAGCCACAACCCCATGTGACAGTTAAGTTGTTATACACCTACTGAAATATTGTTCATATACTATTCTGTGTGTTTATTTCTCAGACTTTTTTATATACAGTATTACATCATCTGCAAAACACAGTTTCGATCACATTTTTATGTCTTCTTTTCCAATCTAGATGCCTTTCATCTCCTTTTCTTGCCTAATTGCTCTCATTAGAACCTCTAGTACAATTAACATAAGAAATGAGAGAAAACATCCTTGTTTTGTCCTTGATCTTAGAGGAAATTATTCTGTCTTTTACCACTGACTATAATATTAGCTGTAGGTTTTTTGTGGGAGTTTGTTGTGTGTGTGTTTGTTGTTGTTGTTTTTGATGCTGTTTGTCACATTGAGAAGGTTTCTTTTTAAAATCTCCAAGTTGAAGGTTTTTTTAAATCATAAAAGGCCTATTTTGTGAAATTCTTTTTGTGTGTGTGTATTAAGATAATGAGTATTTGTGCTTTATCCTATAACTATGGTGCATTTCATGAGCCAGTTCTTAATATATTAAGATAACTTTTTTCAGGTAGGGATTAGTGATTAAGATCTTTTCAAGTCTTTCCTGGGCGTGCACCCAGACCTGTACTCTTGCGGCCTTCTACATCCCCTCAAATTCATTGGAGAGTTTCAAAGCCCACTGGAGACATCTCATTCTTCCAATTTTTATCTTAAGTTTTTGGCTCAGCTCTTGGATGCCTCAACATATTAATATTGCTCCCTCATGCAGCTACAATGCAAAAACAGTTACCACTGATTGTTTTTAGGAAGTTCCCTGGGGATAGACCTTCCTTGCTGAGGGGATGTTTCAAGGGGATGCCACACAGGTCAAATAGAAACAAACCGGGATGCATCTTTTGGGGAGCTCCAAACCCAGGATGGCTATGTGACTGTGTTTTTCACAGTTACATGGTTCTGAGACTGATGCATTTCACAGTTCCTGAGGACACTGTGAGCGCAGAATGGCAACAGTGCAGGTTATAATGCCACAGCGCTTACTCCCTCCTAACTAAATATGCCTCAGATGGTTGCAAGCCTTTGGTTCATTTCTGTACTTTCGAAAAGTTTATATTAACCATTTTTATTGTGTTTTCCTTGTTTTTATGGGTTTTCAGAAGTCCTTACTCCATCATTTCACAGATGTTCTTCTTGTGGCTATTTGTTTTGAATTAATTATATTACATTACATGAGGAACTCAATTCTTCACTCACACTCACCAGCCACATTTTAAGTGCTCAGCAACAACTTGTGGCTAATAATGATTATATTGGACAGTGTAGACACAAGGTTTACTTCATTGCGGAGAGTTCTCTTGGCAAGAACTAGAACAGGAAAGCTAGACTCAGGGCAGAGTTTCAGATACCCCTGCATCCCTTGTGTGCTTCCAGGTCTGTCCCCCACAGCAACCACACTAGGGTGGACTCCCTGTGCCACTTCTCACCATTGGCACAGAAAATGGACAGAGTTGCCATCTATGAGGAATTCCTGCAGCTGACTCAGAATGGCACCCACCTTCAGAACTTTACCCTGGACAGGAACAGTGTGCTAGTGGATGGTAAGACTTCCAGGTCATTGGGGCAGGAGTGGGGGTGTAAATGCCACACCTGTGGACTTCCCTAGGAATCTGGAGGCCTGGGGATGAGTTGGCATTGAACTTTCTGAGGCTAGTAGGAGGTAGCACAGTCCCCTGGCTTTACCCACTATTGAGGGAGAAGAAAGGATGCCCAGTGGAATATAGGAGGCCTTTGTGGTCACCTAGATAGCTCTGTGCCCTCAGGCTAGTCCTTTTCCTACTCGACTTCAGAGTCCTTCTCTGTCTACTGAGAGTCAATTACCAGATGGTCAGTGAGGGCTGTCAGCAGCAAACTATGTGTGAACCAGCCTTGACAGGTGTGATGGGATGGACCTGTTTTCTGACCCACAGGCTGTATAAAAAGAGGCAGTGGGCCTGACTTGGCCTGCAGGCTGTATGTAGTTTGCCCATTACTGCCCAGATCATCACCATCCAATAGAACTTTTGCAGTGATGGAAATGTTCTCTATCTCTGCTGCCCAGCACATCAACCACATAGAAGTTTTGAGTATGAGATGTATGGCTGACACAGATTTTTATTGTTACTGATTTTAATGTTAGGAGGTACCAGATTTTTAAATTTCATTTAATTAAAATTAATTGTAATTTAAGAAGCCCCCTTGTGGCAGCTCTGTATTGGGCAGAACTTCTTAAAAAGTTGGATAGGAAGCCCTGGCCAGCATTGCTCAGTGGTTAGTATCAGCCTGAGCTCAGAAGGGTTGCCGATTGAATTCCAATCAAGGGCATATACCTGAGTTGCAGGTCCCATCCCCGGCCTGGTTGGGGCACATGCGGGAGGAAACCAATTGGGTTTCTACTGTCTCTCTCTCTCTCTCTCTCTCTCTCTCATTAATATTTTCTCTTTCTCGCTCTTTCTCTCTCTTTCTCTCTCTCTCCACCTCCCTCCCTCCCTTCAACCTTCCCACCTTTTCTTCCACTCTCTTTAAAAATAAAAAGTTTGCTAGGGAGAAGTAGGGGAACAGAAACCCTCCTACCCTGCCTAAAGGGTACAATGTGTTCCTACCCTCATGGAGTTTATATTGCAGTAGAAAATAACAAGAATAGGTAGTTGTCAGTAGTAAATTATTTGATGTAAATCAGTCCATGCTTGGGAGTGGTAATCTGAGAAGGCTTCCTGTAGAAATTATATTATAGTTGAATCCTGGGAAATGAGTATAAAACAATGTGGTAAAGGAAAAGCAGGTAAATGTGATTCTAGGCTGAGAAAAGAGATTATGAGTTGTAATTTACATATTTAGAGAGATCTCACGTGCTTGCAACTGGGATGAACCATTCTCCCTTGACAATCATAAGATGGTCCAGCCTACTTTCAATATTCTGTACACAAAGGTAGAAATTTGATTTAATTTAATACACTATTGTAGTATGACAATGGCCTAAGGTTATGTAGGCCATTGCATCTCATTTTTTAGGGCTACAAACTGAAATGGAGTGAGACATAATGATGTCTACTTAAATATTCAGTGAAAATATGGGATGAGGCAAGAGTAGCAACTGTTAATAATTTGTGTATTGGGTGAAATACTGCTTTCATTGGGTGAACTATACCAGTACATTGCTAAAACTTGGGGAGGGATGTTTATGCTATAGTTCTATTTTTCTGTGTGTTTGAAGAGTTTTATTAAACAGAGCAAAACACTTCTCCATTTTATTCCCTTCCAGGCTATTCTCCAAGTAGACCTGAGACCCTGACTGGTAATTCTGGTAAGCCTCAAGGTAGCCCGTGGGGAGGGGGGAATGTCTTGATGCTGTGCCTCATCCCAGAGAAACCTGCACACAGGAGCTTGTGTGATAACGACAGTTGGCCAACCCATGTCATGGACTATTGAGGCACAGGGGGGAGAAAGCAAGATCCCTGGGGAATGAGAGATGGTGGCTCAGCCCAGCACTTGTCCCCCCAGATTTCCCTTTTTGGGCCATCATCCTCTTCTGCTTGGCGGGACTCTGCTTGATCTGCTGTTTCCTGGTAGGCGAGGAAATGATGCTTGTCTTCTTGCTATTGGGTTGTAAGAGTGTTTTATATACAGTCATGCATCACACAGCAACATTTTGGTCAAGGATGGGCCACATATATGATGGTGGTTCCATAAGATTATAATAGAGCTGAAAAATTCTTACCACCTAGTGACATCATATCCTTAATAAGGTTCTGGCAAATCACATTACTCAAGTGTTTGAGGCAAACACACCTAGTGCATTTCCAATTGTATCAAAGTATAAATTGTGTACAGGCCATAATACTTGATAATGATAGTAAAGGACTGTGTTACTGGCTAGGTATTTACTATACCATACTTTTTATTATTATTTTAGAGTGTACTTTTCTACTTATAAAAATGATGGCTGTAAAGCAGTATGCCACATTAGCCTACAACAGTCTCATACATCTCATGTTTACTGCATCTCGTGATTACATTATTTTTGCTTGTTCTTGATTTAACTTTGTGTTGCTTTATAAAGTAACATGCTGTACAGGCAATCCCCTAAGGGCACCTTTCTCAGGTTATACCCTTGTTGTTACATGGTGTATCACTATTTTAGAAATACAGTCCTCTGATGGACACATGTTTTGCAAATATTTTTCTATGTGTGGTTTGCCTATTTCTTTTCTTAAAAACAGTAGTTCTTCGAGAAATGTAACTTAAAGTCTTGAGTCTATCATGGTAGTAGAGTTACCACTACATGTGAGAATGGCTAAAATATTATATAGACTGACTATAACAAGTGTTGGTGAGTATGTGCAGCAGCTGGAACTCTCATGTAGTGCTTATAAAAAGTAGCTTAGTGCTGTTGCTTCTGTAAGTT